TATATATATATATATATATATATATATATATATTTAATAAAAATAATTTAAATGTATTTATTATTCAAAATAGTATATTATTAAGTAAGAAAATTCAATTTATATTTATTTTATTTCCCACAAAGAAAATTTATTAATAAAAAATATAATAAAATTCATTAAATTATTTAAACAAAAATATTATATTTTATTGTATAAAAAATAAAAAGAAATGAAAAAGAAATGACATGTATAAAGAAATAATTCAATTTATATATATAATATTATTTATTTTATTGAAATTATTATATTTTTTATTTTCTTTTATTTTACTTTTGTTTTTTAAATTAATTTATATTATAATTATTATAATTTATATGGAATAGTAAAACGAATCTATACACTTAGCTTAAAATACAAATAAGCTTCAATAAAAAGAATAGATTTAAAAATATTTCGCAGTAATAATTTCGATATAAAATTCTTATTTTATCCACAGTTTATTGTGTATAATATTTAATTTCATCATTATAAAATACAATTATTTTAACTCTTAATATAAAAATAATTATTATAAATATACTTTAATCTTGAATTTAATATTAGTTGTGTGTCTGTCAAAAATATTATAAGACGATTATAAATTAAAATAATAAATAGATATATATAATTATAATGATTAAGAGTTAATGGAATTCGAATTACGAATAATTTAAAAATAAAAAATTTCTAATTCATCAGTAATACAATTTTATAATGTTCTCGAAACAACAACAGAGAGAAGAAATTATTTATAAAAATTGATTATAATATTTATAACTTTAGTCACATATATATATAATGTAATGATAATAGGCTCTAATTCGTTAGAAGATATGGAAATATATATTATAATATTTTTAGGTCTTCCTGCCTATTTATTAATGTTACCAATTTGTATTTAATTATTAACTTTAGTTGTTAGTATTGTTTTTTTATTGATATATGAATTTTGTATTTTAGTTATTATATTATTGAATAATATTAAAAATAAAATTAATACATATATAAAAAATATAAAATTATGTCCTTTTATTTTATAAGATAATTTATAATTATCGAATTAAACTTGTTCTATTTGTTTATTTGAGTTTGCTAATTTATAAGATGAAATATGCACTTTATAATGTAAACATACTTTCCATTATATTTGTATTAAATAATGGTTTATTTAAAAAGATGTGTGCCCTATGTGTAGAAAATAAAATTGATAAAAGACATCTGGATAATATTATATTTATATATATTTATTTTTATAAAATTAATAAAAAAAAAAAGAATATAAAAAAGTACATTATATATGTAAAAATAATTATTAATATATAATTAATATTATATAAAAAAATATTTTAATTATTAAAACATTTATTTTATAATTATAAAAATAATAATAATATGTATTTATTTGTATTTATTTTTCTTTCTTTTTTAAAAATAAAATAAAATATAATCAAAATTATTAAACAAATTTGTTATTTATTTTTTTATTTTGTAAAAATATAAAAAAAAGATTAAATTTATAAATAGATTTTTAAATATGTTTTTATTTATTAAAATTTTTATATTATATTTTTTGATAATTAATTAAATAAAATAAAAGAAAAAAAACCAAATAAAACAAAAATAATTTAATAAACATTAAAATGTAAAATAAGTACGATCTCCTTTTTACAGATGAATAAACACAAAACTTTATATAATTTTTTAAAGAAAATAAGATTATTATTAATTCTAAATTCATAAATGATTTTTTTAATAATTTTGATGATTATATTATACCAAAAAATTAGATTTTGAATGAATCTTAAAATTTTGATTAGAAGTCAATATTGGATTATTTTTTAGAACTTATATTCTATTTTTCAAATAATTCCTATTTTTTTCAAAAAGGAAATATAGTTTAAAATTTAATAAAATTAGCAATAAAGAATTCTGAAAATAATGAAAATATATTAAATAGATTATTAAATTTATTTAACGTATGTATAAAAGAGAAAAAAATAATAACTGGAGATTTTAAATACATATTTAATGAAAACGCAAAAGATTTTTATTAAAATACTCTGAGTTATTAAAAAATATAAATTTCTTTAATTTTATTATAAGTAAAAAAATAAAAAAAAGAATTAATTATAATTTATTTATTTTTAAACAAAAAAAACAAAACAAAAAGTAACTTTTTTACTAAAAACCGAATAATTTATATCATTCATATTTTTATTTTTGTGGATAAAACAGTTATTTATAAATAGAAGATATAAATTGGAAATATGAAAGTGTAACAAAAATATTTAATTTTATTTTTTATTAATTTTTTTTAAAGGGAATTTCACTTTGTACATGGTTCTATATTTCAAGTACAAGTGATGATTATTAGAAAATATTCACTATTCATACATCTAGAAGTAATTATTTTGGAGGTCTTGAAGCTTATATATACGATTAGTAATTATATTATCGTGTTCTGTACTCTAAATATACTCCCCCTACTGAGAAAACAAAAGGGATTTTATTAGGTTAGTTTAATTTAAATTAATGGTATTTTTTAGCTCTTGATCATGAAGGGCCTAAATCTTTTGGAAGAACAAGTACTTTAAAGGTATTTTTTTTTATTTGTATTTTTTTTAAAAAAAATAAATATTATATATTATTTTTATTGGCGAAAATATTAAAGAAAATAATTAGATTTTAATAGATGATAATGAGCCGATTATTTTTAGTTTAGAATTCCCTAAAATAATGGTAAATACAGGTATAGATTAATTTACTATTGGTTAAAATTTTATTGGAGAAATATCATCTTTTTTATTTTTACTAATTAAGTGGGAATTTCTTGTCTTTAATAAATTTACTAAAGCCATAGATATGGATTTATTAATGATAATTATATTAATTTAAGTTTTTAGACTGAATATATATTGATTTCACCTTTATATTGCAGTATAAACTATATAATATAATATAAATAATTATATATTTTTTAGATTAATTGTATTGTTTTAGTATTTAAAATAATTTGAAAATCTCAATATAAAAAAGTGTTTGTGTTATAAATAAAAATCCTTAAAATTTTAGCCTAAAATACATCGGAGGATATTATTAAATTTTACCTTTTCTTTATATTTTAAGTATCTATTTTTTTTTGTTTTTTTTAAACAAAAATAAAATAAAAACAAAAAAGGATTTATAGAAAAAAAAAATTAAAATAAAAATATTCTAAATGAATTTTTAAAAACATTAACAATAATAATAAACTAAAGAGAAAATGAGCAAATTAATATAGAATAAATAAATTATTTTGATTTAATTAGTTTATTAGTAAATGAATTAAATAACCCATATATTGATTAAGAAACAATTTAATGTTTTAAAGAATTAAAAGAAGTTATTGAATATAAAAAACTTCAGAATTAATTTCTAGTCGATTTTTTATGGAATATAAATAAAATTTAAGTCAAATATATACATAATTAATATTTTAATTTTATTAAGTAAATATATAAAGAAGATACTTTATATTTTTCCAAATTATTTGGTGTCGAATAAATTTTAATTTTGGCTTTAAATAAATATGATAGTCAAAAATGCTGTTTAAAACATTCCTAAAAAGAAGGAAATATTTAAAAATTATTAATGTCTATTTTAGATATAGTTTAGTGTATTTTCGAAGCTAATTTAATTAATTTTGAATATGATTTTCTGCTTTTTATGAATACTTTTAATTAGAAAGCTTCTATTTGTTATTATTTATGTTTATTTTAAATAATATAGGTATATATTAATATTTATATATATAAATAAAAAATACATCAATTTATAAAAAAATAAAAGAATCTATTTTTGAAAAAAGATCTTGATAAAAAATGCATAAAAATAATATTCGAAAATAATCTAATTAATAATATTTTAAATTTACTTAAAAATAATTTTAATAATTTAGATTTATATACCAAAACTATTTAATTAATTAATTTTTTCCATCAAAAAGTTAATGTAATATAAAAAAAATAAAAATTAAACAAAAAAACTAAACATAAAAAGATTATTTTAAATGAAGCTGAAATATGTGACTTATTAGTGAACATTTTCAATAGAAATTTTAATGAAAATTCGCCTCTATCTTGGATAAAAATTAATACAAAATAAACTGAAAATAATAATATAATAAAAAATATTGATTATTTTATAGAATTTAACGATTTTGATGAAATATAAATATTGGCGTAAGGGTGTGCTAATAATATAAAAACACAAAATTTTTATAAAACTTTAAATTTTTATTAAAAATAAATATTATAGAATTAAAAATAGATAATAAATGATAAATAAATATATCAAGAAATATATATATAGATAATGAAATGGATTTTATTTAGGGATCCTTATTAAATTTAAGAGTAATAAATAATAATAAAAGATACTGATTGCATAAAATCAATGAGTATTTTAAAAGTTTTAATGGTATATTATTAATAAACAGATAAGGATATATAAGATAATATAATTTAAAATTTGTTATTAATATTGAAATAGAATGTTACAAATTGTATATAGGCATTGAAATTTAATGAATTTTTTAATTGGATATTAGATACTTTATTAAACGAATAGGTTTTTTATAAATAAAAGTAATATTATATATTGACTTATATTTTTTTTTTTAATAAAATAAAATAAAATAAATCAGATTAGCCTATTTAATAAAAACAAAAGTAATATATATGATTCAGCTTTAAAAATCTTCATTTAAATGATGAAAGTTGCTATTTTTAATGAAAAAGAAGGAAATAAATATTTACAATAGTATTTTTTATGGTTCAATAATAAAAAATAATAGTATTTATAAACTCATTTAGAAACTATTTTCTAAAAAACACTTTAGTTTATGTTAAGATAAGTATGGCTAGCCATTTTGGAGTGTATTAAAGAATAATTATATAATTAATTAGAGAATAATATAATATTTTGGAAAAATTTCAATTTTATAATTTTATGGAATTATTAAATTATTGTTAATGAAGGAAATATTTAAGGTAAGGAAAAATAATCAGAAACTGCTTATTTTTCAATATAATAATATAAAAAATTATCAAGAAAGAAGATATAATTCCTAAAAGTTAATTTAGATATATAAATATATATATATATATATATATATATATATATATATATATATTTATTATTCAGAATTAAATTATATGGCTTGATGAAGAAACAACATGTATTTTGTTCGACATAATTAATTTTTTTTATGCATAAAAGATTAATATAAGAGAAGATACAGATTAATTATATAATATTTTATATAATATCTTAAGCTTATAAAATTAAAAATAAATAATATAAGATTTTTAGATAATCTTTATTGAAAATCCTTAATTAATAAAAATTATTAGTTTATAATTAACTTTGTGTATTGATAATTGTATAATAAATTCTTAAAATGATAAATTAGATTTTTTTTTATAAATTTAAGAAAGAATATTCACTTATTTAGTTATTTTATGTGAAAATATCAGAGAATAATATTCTATTTAGACATTTTAAATTTAATAAAATAACTTTTTTTATATATTGAATTTCTTATATATTAAATATTAATAATTATAAACTAATAATAATTAATAATAGTATATAAAAAATAGCTTAAAAAAAATTTTCGAGTTTATTTTTACTTGTATTATAATAATAAATGAAAAATATGGAAATTTTAATAACTTATCAAATTCGACTGTATCAGAGTAATCGGCTTGAATTGCAAACTTAAATTTTAACCTTTTTAAAATTATAGAGACTTTTTTAACGGAATTATAATTATCTATATAAGTAATTTAGGCTCAAAAAGATAATAAATATAGATATTTAGAAGAATAGATTTTTAGTAAAAAATGGATATAATTATTTATTTTGAATAATAAAATTTTAAATTAGATTTATAATGAATATAATTAAAAATAAGTTATTTAATAAAATATAAGCTTTTATTAATAATAATAATTGTAATAATAATAATAAATTTAAATATAATAATAACAAAATTTAGAGAATAATTCATAATTTAAATTAAAAATTAAAGAAAGATTAGATAAAATTAGACTTAGATAAATTTAATAAAATGAAGACAAAATTAGAAAAATAAAAAACATGTGGAAAAAAATATGGAATAGGCTAAGAATATATGATGGATTATGGAAAAGTCCAACTTTTAAAAATTAATAGGATGATTTTTTTGAAAACATACAAGAAAACATTAGTAAAAATGAAATCTTTTATTTAAAAATAAACAAATATGAAACTAAAAATAGAATGAAACCATATCTAAAAGTTAAACTTATTGAACCTTTATATGTATAATAATATCAGGAATAGTTTTTGATATAAAATATAATAAAAAAAGATTAAATAAAAACAAAAAATAATAATAATGAAAATTTATATTAAAGAAATAATAAAAAAAATGTATTTTATGATTTAGGCAAAAAAATATAAGATAATATATCAAAAACAATATAATTAATATGTAAAAAGTTATATAAATAAAATATAAATATAAATATATAAATATATAATATATATTATTATATATATATATATCAATATATATTTATCTATCTATTTATTTATATTCATATAATTTACTATTTTTGTTATTTTAGATCCTTTATAATTAACTCAAAATATTGATATTATTAGAAATTGTTAATGGATTAAAACTTTGACTATACGCGAAGGTTTACTTAGTATAACATAGAATGAATTTATGTATTTATATTATATTATTTATATATTTTATATATATATATTTTTTTAAAGTTTTTAATATGAATGCTAGAATTAAAAAAATAGTCATTTATCAATGATAAAGCATACTATTTAAAATAATCGTAATTACTAAAAATACTGGAAATTCAATTAAATAAAAAATATTAGAGAAAGAAGATTTATTATGAAAAGAACTGCTATAGAGATATTTTTTTTTGATGGATAAAGCGTCTATTTGAATTTTTAAGAAAATTCATATTTGGAATTAGTAGAAGTTTTAAAGAAGAAAAATCTAGTTAATTTGAGGATAAAAAAATATGATTTGAAAAAGCATTAAAAAAAATTTATAACTAATTAAACTTCGATTTTTTCATATTTAATGTTATTAAATGCAGCTTCCTCTAGATCTAGAATAGACTTATCACAGTTTCCGATATTCCCTTGGATAATAAATAACTATGAGCAAGAAGATGGCTTTAAAAAATACAGAGATTTGAGTAAACCAATAGGACTTTTAGGCAGTAAAGATCGTATAAACATTTACATAGAGCGTTTTTAGTCATGTGATACTTTCCAAAATATCCCTCCTTTTCACTACGGATCTCATTATTCTTCCCCAGCAATCATACTATAATACATGCTAAGGATATAGCCATTTACAAACGGGGCAAAGATACTTTAAGGAGGTAAATTTGATATTGCTGACCGAATTTTTTTCAGTATAAAAGATTCTTTCAAATGCGCTATGGAGGAAGTATCTGATATACGTGAATTAATTCCAGAGTTTTTTTATTTTCCAGAAATGCTAATAAATATAAACCAACAAGAGTTTGGTACAACCTAATCTGGGCTTTAAGTAAACCACGTAATAATGCCTATATGGGCTTAAAAAAATCCGTATAAATTCATTGTTTTAAACAGGAAAGGTATAGAATCGTCTTTTCAGTAAATCCATATGTGGATTGATCTTATTTTCGGATATAAATAACAAGGAAAAGAGGCTGTCAAAAATATGAATATTTTCTATTATTTGACTTATGAAAATAATATTAATTAAATTTCATTCCAAGATGAAAAATAAAGACTTTCAGTTGAAACTTAAATTGTTAATTTCGGATAAACACCAATTTAGCTTTTTTAAGATTCACAGCACCCTTAAAGGATTAAATTTTTAACTAATTTTCCGAAAATTACAGATATTAATGCCAATATTAAGGTCTTTAAACCAGTTTCAAATAAAAACTTTCCAAATAATGGTCTTTAAATATTTAATTTTCTGTAGATTAATTAAATTTAAATGGATTCTATTGTCAAAATATGCATTGTTGATAATTAAAAATTTGTTTGTTTACATATGAATGGAGTTTTGGTAGACTATAAATGGTATAATAGTCCTTAGGCGGGTTATAATGTGCCTTTTTAATGCGGGGAGGAAAAAAGAAAAAAAATTACCTTTAAAAATATTGATTTTTCTATTAAATATATGTGTTTTCCTGCTGTTTTTATTTCAAATTCTAAAGTAAAAAATAATATATTTTTTTGTTTTTTTTTAAATTAAAAATATTAAAAGTACATTGTTTTTGGAGGATAATGGAAAGGTTATTTAAGTATAATTAATACCGAAAATAATAAAGAAATATAAACAATTAAAAAACATAGAAGTACTATTAGTTGCATTGCAGTATAAGAAATCGAATAAATAATAATAACAGGTTCTTCTGATGGTTAAGTGATAGTTTGGTAAATAGAGGATTAAAATAAATTGATATTAAAGTAAGAAATTTTTGATTAAGATAAATAAATACATAGTATTTGTATTTCTAGGATTTTGAGAATATTTCTAACAGCAAGCGAAAATGGATCTATAAATATTTATAATTTATATAATTATTGTTTTATAGAACTATAAATCATCCCTAAGGTTCCCCTATATAGAGTTTAAGTGTAAGTATTTCTCCTTTAATTTGTGTAGTCTTTTTTTCTTAATAGGATTAAGTTTTATATTCTTATAGTATTAATGGATAATTATTGGCTAAGTTTAAAGAAAAATATATGTAAGTTACACATTTTAGGATTATTTAAGATTCAGATTTTAGTTAAATTCTTATACTTAGTAATGAAAAGGGAGAAGTTTAAATTAGAGAATTACCATTTTTGGAATTGAGAAAAAATTATGTAGTTTCGAAAAATTCGGTTCTCGTTATTTAAGAAACTCTAGATAGAAGATTCCTTTTGTGTGGATGTTAAGATGGTTAATTTGGTGTTTTAACTGATGTTAAAATAAGTTGATAATATATATATTTTAATAAAGAATTTTTATATTTTATTTTTAAAAATTATTTTATTTTATTTGAATATATATAAATAAAAATAAATATTATATATAAAAAAATATTTATAAAAAATTAAATAATTATGAAATAGAAATATATAAATGTAAATATATATATATATATATATATATATATATATATATATCTAAATTAATATTTTTAATTATTTATTTTTTATAGATATAAATATTTTTAATTTAAATTAATTGTTATATATTTATTTATTAAAAGTAAATTATTTCATTTTTTATTATAGATTTTACTAAAATATCCATTTTGATTTTAAGATAATTAAACGAAATTTCCTTCTTCTATAATTTTACTATTTTCTAATATAAAGATATTATCAAATTTATCAATACTTTCCATTCTATGAGTTATATAAATAAGAGTTTTTCCTATAGCCATATCTAATATATAATCAGTTATTTATTTATGAGTTTCAGGGTTCATATTAGAAGTAGCTTCATCTATGCAAATAATATCAGAATTTCTTAAAGTAATTCTTAAAAAATTAATAATTTATTTTTCTCCATTTGAAAGATTATTTCCACTTTCATCAACTAAAAAATCAAGCTCTTATTTAAATTTAAAATCAAATTTTTATATTTTAATTTATAAATCATCCTCTTTATATTCATCCGCAGGATCTAAATTTTACTTTATAGTCGCATTATAAAGAAACCCGAATTAAGGAATAATTGAAATCTTATTTCTTAATTACTTTAGTGAATATGATAATATATCTTAACCATCAATAAATATGTTTCCTTATTAAAATGGGTATAAATTAAACAATAAATTAATAATTGAAGTTTTTCCTGAACCTGTTCTGCCCAAAAAGGCTATTTTTTATCCTTTTTTTATTCTAAAATTAATATTTTATAATGCATATTATTATTAATGATTATTTTTCTCATTTTCATAAGAAAAAGAAACATCTTTAAAAATAATTTAATATTAATTATATTCCTCCTAAACAACTTTTACTATTATTTCTTTTTAATTTTATTTATAACATTCTATATTTTCTTAATCGTTATTATAATATTATTTAATTCTTTCCATATTGACCATATTTAATTCGAATTGAATTTAATAAAAAATCAAAACATAAAAAGACTAACAGAATAAAATTGAATAGGCTAAACTCATTGAAAAGTTATTATAATTAATCAAACCATTTTAAAACACAAAATAAAGGCAAATAATACATATAGAAAAACAAATTAAATTAGAAATTAATAAAATTCTTATTTAAAGCCAAACTTCTATAGCTTACAAATTTAAAAGGCAATTATTAAAATCTTTAAGATTTACTAAAAAATCCTTTAAAATATTTTCTTGTTGATTAAAAGATCTTATAATTGCTAATCCACCGCAAATTTCATTTATATTAGTTATTAATTTTCCATAATTTACTTAATTAAGTCTTTTTAACTCTTTATTAGTTCGAGTAAATTTAGCATAATAATAGTACATTGAAAATATACATACGAAAGAAATTATTAAAGTATAAGGAAAAATATAACCTATAGCTATTAAATATCCAAAAACCTAAACATAAGAAGTTAAAAGCTCATTAAAATTAATAGAAGCAGATTAATCTATTTAAAATATATCATCAGATACCCTATTCATTATTTTTCCTAACGAAGTTTTATCAAAGAAAGACATTTTGCTAAATATAATGCATTTATTTAAATTATTAAATATATTATAAGAACTAAAATAATTAACAATTACAAAAAGAAAACATTTTAAACAAATAAAGATTATATTAATTAATAAGAAATACATAAACGCTTATTAAAATGTTATTTATTAGTTAATTTATTTATAAAAATCTGATTCAGGTTATATGTAATCTTTTAACCAAAAATCAATAAAAACTTAACTTGTTTGACATAATATATGAGAAATTAAAAAGCAAATAAAAAATATTATATTCATAGACTAAAAATAAGAAAAATAAACTTAAATATTAAAACTTCCTTATTCTCTTTATTCATCTAAAAATTATTAATTTAATTCTTTTTGTTATTAATTAGAGCCTAAACTTAATTAAGAATTAAATTCTGATTATAAATACGAACCTTCTTAATTTAATTATAAACTAAAGTCTAATTATTTTTAAGGACTAAATTATTTTTGTTATTATTATTAAATTTATCTTTATATATATTATTCTATTATTTATTAATTTAATATTATTTATCCTTATTCAATTAGAATTATTTGACTAAATGTTTTTTAATAATTAAACATATGATAATTTTAAGAACAAAATAACACTGTTTTTTCTTTTTCATTAATTAGTAAATCTATAATTGCATTTTGGAATATTTTTTATTAAACATGGCTATCTAAACTGCTAAAAATATCATCAAATAAATAAATATCTTTCCTCGAATAAAGTGCTCTACATATACAAATCCTTTATATTTATCCTCCACTTAAATTAATACCATTTTATATTATTATTTTTTAATCTTTTTATGATAAAGAATTCAAATCTTCTTATAAATCGCAAGCATTTATACATTTTTAATACCAAACTTCATCATATTCTTCGCCAAATAAAATATTCTCTCTTATACTTTTTGCTTATAACCAATGGTTTTAAGATACATAGCATATACTCCCTTTTTTAAAAAATTAACTTTCTTATTCATTTTCCATTTCCCCTAAAAGAGTATTAAAGAATGCCGATTTGCCACTTCCGATAGATCCTATGATTATATTTAGGCTTTTTTAATAAATTATTAATTAATCAATTTTTAATTTAAATTTGTTTTCTTTTTCTTATAATAAATATATTTCTTCAGGATTTTATTCTTTGTTTTATATGTTTTTATTTTAATTAGGCCATATAGATGTAACATTTATTAATTTTATACAAATTTAATTTTAAGTTTAAAAATTATAATCTTCTTTTTATATAATTTCCTTTTAATTTAAATATTTAACAAATCTTTTGTAATAAACTTTAAAAAATAAACATAACAAAAAGCTTCTGGTAAAACTGTCAAAGGTAAAGATAATAAACCAAAAATAGCAATAATAGTAAAAACATTTATATCATTAATAGAACTATTTTATTAATCATATTGTGTTAATATTATATATAAAATGCTATATGTTAGTGCTTAGAAAAGTATAACCATAAAAGATTCAAATAGTTTTGCTTAAAAAATAAATTTTAATTCTTTTGTTCTTATTTTTTCTATTTTTTATTTAAATATTTATTCCCAGTTAAAAAACTTAATTTATTTAATGTATTAAATTACGTCTTTTATTAAACAAACTCTCTAATCTTTAACTTTGCATTGTTTTTAGTATATTTAAGTAACGAATTGCATTAATAATTAATTAATTAAAATAACAGTAATTAAAATTATTATTGGTAATATTAATATGTTTCTTATTTTTTTATATAATATGTAAACTATTAGATATATTTAAATTATACATCTAGCTAATATAATTATTCCCCAATAGAAATATTTACTTTTTTCAATATCTGAAGTAATTAAATTATTTATATTAATAATTTCACTATTTTAATTGTGACTTTAATTAATTTATGATTTCAAAGATTTTTTTAATAATAAATATTACATTGTTATTTAATATAAGGTTTCCCATTATTTCGAGTACCAATAGAAACAGGCTAATAATATTTTTGAGAGAAAATAAGTAATGAGTAAAATAATCATAAGGTATAAAACATATATTTTATCTATTTTTTCTTAATTCAAAGCATCTGTAATAAAATCTAAAACATATACTTATAAACAATTAAATAAACCTTGCATAGAATTACTTATTAATCCTTAGAAAAATAGTTTTTTTGATATATGGAATAATAAACCCAATAAATTTAATTCTTTTTAATTATTTAAATAGTTTTCGATTTTTATAATTATTTCATTTATTTAACCTAATTTAAACTCAAACTTATATAAATCTTTATTTTATATGAACTAGTCCTTTTCTAAATTATTTATAATGTCTATTAGTTATTATCTATTGGTGAATAATATATTGTCATCATTTAAGTTTTATATTAAGTTCGATGATTAACTAACATTAGTATTTTTTTATTTAATGTCGTCAGATATTAGCATTTGTTATATAAAAAAAAAAATATTTCTATTAATTTGAAATTTAACACTTTTTATTTTTTTGTCTTATTTTTATATAAATTTATACATTACTCTCTATTATATCGGATATCTTATATTTTAAATAAGTTTTTTTTTAATTATAATTTTATTTTATTCGAAATTATTATTTATATTATTTTATTATTATTATTTATTTTATTATTATTATTTATTTTATTTTAATTATTTTATATCAATGAAATCTATATAGGTTATTTAGACATATTTAATCATCCTTTTTTTAATAAATAATTTATGTTTATTATACCTTTTCAATTTTTTTTTTACTTAGAGATTAAATTAGTTAATTATCATTTTAGTTATTAATCTTTATTTTAAAAATAGAAAAAAAAAATTAATATACGCAATAAATTTCAATTAAAAAAAAAAAACAAAAAACAACTAAAAATTATAAAAAAATTATGAATATATATATACAATATTAATTTTTTAAATTATAAAACACCTATTTTTTTTATTTATATAATTACAAAATGAATTCGAATGTATAAAAGATTATTAATAAATCTTTTCTCTTTTTAAATATTAAAATTTTATAAAAATAATTATAATTATTTATGAATAATTAATTTTTTTCATTAACTAAATAAATTTGTTTTTTCATGAAATAAAAATAAATATCAATTGTCTTATATTAATTCAAAGAATCGGATATAAAAACTGTTTTAATAATAATATCCTTTATGTAATTTATAGAAATAAAATATACACAATATATTCAAATTTGGAGCCAATTTATCTTTTACGCAATAAGATAGTAAAACATAAAACATGTCGGTTATTATTTAATTTATTTATAAAAATTGATTAAGATCATATACAATCAGAAAATTAATAAAAATTTAACATTAAATAATATTCAAGAAAATAAAAATAATATAATCATAAATTAAAAAGGAAATAAAACCTATAAATTAAAATGTTTGTATTTAATTTAATAAACTAAAAATTATATATATAATTCTTTTTAATATTAATAAAAGCCAAAAATTATTTAAAAATCCAATCTGATTATTAAATTTATCTTTATATATAGAAAAAAATAAAAGAAAATATATAATCAAATAATATATTATTTATAAATTTAGATTTATATATCTTTTTTCAATAATAATTATTTTTATTAATATTAGAAATTAACAATATGCAAAATATAACAGTTTTTTCTTTTTCTTTAATAAGTAAATTTAAAATATCTTTTTAGATTATTATTTCTTAATTAATTAAAATCTTCAAATAAATAACACACGCATATATATATTTTTAATATAAAAATTCATCATATTCTTTACCAAATATAAAATTCTATTTTATTTTACACTTTTTTCATTTAACAAATCGTTTTAATGTATATATTACATATTCCATATTTTTAAAAAACTACTTTCTTGTTCATTTTAAAAAAATCATAAAAAAATAATAAATAATATTATTTCGCCACTTCTAATAAATACTATGATTAATTATATTTAGGTTTTTATCTTAAATTATTAATACTTCAATTTGAGTTTAAATAATTATTTTTATTCTTCTTATAATAAATAAATTTAATTTCTTCAAGCCTTTTTTTATTCTTTATTTATATATTTTTGTTTTGATTAGGACATATATATGTAATATTTATTAATTTTATATAAATTATATTTAAAAATTATAATTTTTTTCTAATGTCTTTTTCGTTTGATTTAAATATTAAATAGATTTATTGTATTAAACTTTGAAAAAATAAATGTGATAAAAATATTATGTAAAATCAATAAAGGTTGTATTTAAAAACAAAAAATAATAATAATAAAAAAATACTATCCTAAATAAAATTATATCATTAATCATAATAGTTAAAAATAATTATTTTATTAAAATGTTTTAAAGAAGAGAAAAATTAATCACGGAATATTTAAAATATATCTGATTAAAAAATAAATTTTAATTCTTTTATTTCAATTTTTTCTATTTTTTATTTAAATATTTATAACCTAATTAAAAAACTTAATTTATTTAATGTTTTAAATTATGTCTTTTATTAAAAAAAATCTGTAGTTTTTAACATAACATTGTTTTTAGTATATTTAAGTTAAGAATTAAATTAATAATTAATTAGTTAAAATAACAGAAATTAAAATTATTATTGGTATATATTTCTTATTTTTTAATATAATATATAAACTATTAGATATATTTAAATTATGTATCTAGTTAATCTAACTAATATGCTATCAATAATTTCATTGTTTTAATTTCTTTATATTGTAACAATATTCACTTATAAATAATAAATATTACATATAAAATTTATATTACTTTTATATCTATATTAACATTTAAGTAATGTTTTAGATAGAAAATAAATAATGAACAAAAAATTATAGGGTATTAAACATATATTTTATTTATTATTTCTTAATTCAAAAAACCATAAACCTAAAGAGTAGTTTATTAAAAAATAAAATATAGTTAAAAATTTAAATTTATAAATATATATATATATTTAAATATTTATAATAAAAAAAAAATGAAAAATAATACTCTATTAACAGTTGGAGTTAAAATAATAGATGGTTTATTTATAGGAGATGAATTTGCAGCAAAAGTATTATTTTAAAAAATATATATAAATAAATTAAAGATATTGTTTAACAATTAATATTTTTTAAAGAAAAAATTAAATTATATATTTTTTTTATTTTTTTAAGGATTTATAATTTTTAATTTCTAACAAAGTTACATCAGTAATAAATTGTGTATCGTAATAAATACCTAATCATTGGTAAACAATAGGAATAACATATTTATGCTATAGATGGCAAGAAAACGAAAAATAAGTATAAATAAAAAAAAATATTAACTTAATTTAATTAATATAAAGTAAATATTTGATTAAAAGAATAATAATATTAACAATATATATAAATTTATTGAAACTAGTTTACTTAAATCTGAAAGCGTATTAGTACATTCAGTTAGAGGTTAAAATAGATCAGTATGTATAATAATAGGTTATTTAATGAAAAAGTAATTAATATAAATCTATATAAAGCATTTATGTATATAAAAATAGATTTAAATGGAGTTTAAATAAATGTATTGAATTTTTGCATTAGAAAAATTTAACATTAAATATTAGTTCTTAATTATATTATTAGTTAAATAACTTAGAAAACTCTTTGTAAAATAATGGAGAAATTACTTATTTTTGGGATAAATAAAAAAATATTAATGAAGATGAATTATTATAAACAAATACATTTTTAAATGGAAAAATAGAATAAAATATAGATAAAGATATTTTTCCAGAAAAAAAATATAAAAAAAATAAAAAACAGTTAAATGGAATGATCAAAATGGAAAAGATTTAATTGACTAATATATTCCTCCTTTTAATAAATGTGATTTTTTTTAAGAACAAAATTAAACTAAAAAAAACTAATATTAATCAATAATGAAGGTAAATTAAATTTTATATTTTATTCATATTAAATATTAAATAAAAAAAGGGATCAAATCAAATATTTTATAAAGTTTAACAAGAAAATTCTAGGACAATATTTAAAACAAAAATATTAGATAAAAAGAGATTTAATATTTAACAAATAAATTAAGAGTCATAAAATTAATTAATAAAAAGTTCATCATTAAAAGGAAATAATTTTTAAAGTTTTATTTATTTTCATAATAAGATATATATATATATATATATATATATATATATATATTATTTATATATGAATAATAATTAAAAAGGTTCTTTAAATTTAATAGTAAATAAATAATTCTAAAATATGATAACTAAATTTAGATAAAACAAAGATAATGAGCAAACTAATAAAATAAATTAACAATTCAACAATAAACATATCAGAGCCAAAAGTTTTATAAATTTAAATATTATACTATAAATTTTTTTATTGTATTAAATATATCAAAAAGTAAAATAACTTTTTAAAACTAGAAAAAATATAAGAAATACATTAATTACTATAGGAATAATCAGAAAATATTTTTGAAATGAAAAATAATAAATTTATTGATATTTAAAATTTAAATAATTTTTTATAAAATGATATAAGTGTTAAAAAACATATAGTAGACGATTATAAAATTATTAAAAAAAATATTATTAGTTATGAATTTAAATAAAATAGAAATAGTATTAAGAAAATAAATTAAAAAATTAATAATAATAATATTTAAAGATGTTTTTCTGCGTAAAACAAGGAAAAGTAAAAATTTTAATTATGATATTTTAACTAATTAATAAAATATACCTTTTTATTTTTATAAAATGAACAATAAATATATATTTTTTATATATTTATTATATAAATATTTAATAAAAAAAAAATATTCTATTCCTTTTAATATATATGTTTTCTTTATTAAATTTATAAATCTTTATTCTATTCTAAGTTTTTTTTTAAAATTATATATTTATTTGTTTATTATTTTTTGCAACAATATAATTTATGAGTTACTTTTTATTTTATAAAATATATTATTATCTTTATTGTTTTATTATTTAATAATTTTATTATATTTATGTTGTAAAATTTATACCAGTATAATTATTAGTATCTAAATTTATATTTTAAAGTAAAATTATTTTAAAACTATTTTCTTTTTACAATTATTTAAACTGCTTTTTAATATACTTACTTATTATTATTTCATTTTTTTAAAAGAATTATTATTTTGTATTTTAGATTTATATTTTATAAGATTTCCCATAAAACCTATATTAAGTTTAATTATCGCTTTATTTATTAATTTTTATAAAGAAATTTTTTAAAATAATTAAAAGCTTTAAAAAAATTAATCCTTTTAGTAATTAAAGGATAGGCTTTTAAATTTAATTTGATTTAATATATATTTCAAATATTAATTTTATTTATTTATTTCTTAACTTTTTTAAAAAATTAACATATTTATTTCTATTTTTTAATTTATTCTATTTTTATTTAATTTATTCAATTATTTTTTCAAAATACATTTTCTTTTAAAAGATAAACTTTTTCATTTCATTTTTTAATTTTTTACTTTTATTTTTTATTATATATATAAATTTTGTATTTTTACTAAACTGATTCACAAATCAAAAACATTAATCTCTTATAAACTAAATTTAAGAAGTGAACAAAAATATTTGCTTTATTTAAAATATTAAAAAACTTAAATTTTAAGCAATCAATATTATTTTAAATATAAACTTAAATAATAATTATAATATGTAGTAAAATTATTCTATTTTTTAATTGCTCCTTTTTTTTTTTTTTTTTTTTTCATTATTTAAATTCATATTATTATAAATAAATATTTTATCAAAAAAATTTTTATTTTACTTGCTTTAAATATTATTTATTTTTAAATATTTTAATTCATAATATTATTCAAATATATTTTTTTGGATATTGTTTTTTGTTTTGTTTAATCTATATTTATAAAATACAAAGTAACTTTTTACATGTTAACTAATTTAGTTTTTTATCAAATAAATTTCTATGTGTTAATTCTTTTATTATATATGCATCATGAATAAGTAATTTATTTTATTTGCTATATTTTTATTTGATCTAGCCTTTTTTATCTAATATATTACTTATATTTCTTTAAGGTTTATTATAATCAGATATATACTTTTTATTAATTAAATATATTTGATATTTTTATAATATCTTTTATTTTTTATGATTTATTAAAATAAAAATGAATATTATCTTAATTAAAAATACAATAAATTATATACTAGTAAATATGTTATATAAATATAAATATTAAAATAAATATATATTTTTTTAAGTATAAATATAATTATATTTAATTCATATTTAAAATAAATAAAAATATGAAATTAATATATAAAATTTTATAATTTTTTAATTTTACATTTTAATATATTTTTATATTTATTAATAATTTTTTTATTTTATAATTATTAATTAATTTATAATTTTATTATGCTTTATTAATTAAATAATTTAATATAAAATAATAAAAACAATTATGAATACCAAATTATGTTAAATATATGTTAGAGAGAAATTTGAATTATAATAAAATAGAAAATTTCAAAGATTTTCAAATACATAATTTAATTGTATAGATAATATGAAAGAATTAATAACGTTAAATACTTAAAATTTCGATTTAAAAAAATATTTAATATAAAATGTAAAATCAAAAATTAAATAAAATGAAGCAAATAATATAGAATTTTATGATATATAAAACGGATAATAAAACAATAGATGTTCTAATAGTTTATAAAAAAAATCTATCTGTTAATAAAACTAAAAATCAAGAAGATGTTTATCAGATATTTAATAAATAAGTGGCATAAATAAAATATTCAAAAAGCCAGATTATAATAAATATGAATAAAAAGTATTAAAATAATTGAAATAAGAAGGACATTAAAAGCTATTAATGAGTGAAATGTATTTTTTTTATTATTTTTAATTTTTTATATTTCAATAGTTATTATTATTATATAAAATAAAAAATAGATATTCTTTATTAGATGAAGATATTATTTTGGAAAAATAAAATAATTAGAAATTGCCTAAATTAAAAAATAAAAATTAAAGTTTATAAGAAAATAAGGATATAAAGGAACTTTAAGATTTAGATGTTTGGCAGAAAAAATAACTAAGATAATAAAGAGTGACATCACATGCTTAATTAATTAATACAACCGATAATTAAAATAATGTAATTGAAAAAAATATATCTAATTCATTAACAAATAATGTATAAATTTTATATATATAAAAGAATAGATTTATTTATATATCATATAAATTATTTGTATAATATTTTTTTTTATTTAATTATATTTATAATATATATATATTTATTTTTTCTATTTTATTACTTATATTTATAATATTATAAAATATATTTATATATATATAGAATGTATAAATTAATATAAGCTAAAATATTTAAGATATTTAAGACATATATGATATTTAAGATATGGTTTTAAAAACAAGAACTAGTGTAATTAATATTGCTTAAGAAAAATTTGGTGATATTAAAATAAATAATTTAGAATCAGATTTGATAGATTATAATATAAATAATCATAATTAATAATAATAATAATAATAAATAAAAATTAAATAAAATACATATGAGAATTCACCAGTTAGTATATCTAATCTTCTTAGAAAATAAACAGTATAAATAAAAATTAATAATATATATAATTTTTTTTTATATATATAGATTACAGAATTAGATTAAATTTTACTTAAAAAATAATAATCAGATAATGATAATAAATAATAAAATCAAAGTTTTAGGCAATTATATTAATAAGCTATAAAATAAACTCAAATAAACAAATGCAAAGATTACATATAAAGAGATATAAATGTATAACTAAGAAGTTATATTAATTAAATACCTAATACTTAAACTATTTAAACTATATAAGAAAACAAAAACAATATTATTTAAGTAGATTTAACTGGATAAGGAATAAAAAAGATTCTATAAACTTTTTATTAAATTGATTCTGGTTTCGATACTAATTATAATGCAATTTAAAGGGCTAAAAATTACGAAAAAATATCTAATATAATAGAAATTTAATTGATTGAAAAAATAAAATAAATGAATGTTTTAATAAATAATAAAAGTAACACTTTAAGAATAATAAGAATAGAGACTTAGTTTATTTGCCGAAGAATTAATAAAATAAAATTATTAAATATCGATTTGGAAAATCACATTATTAAATTAAAAAACTCAAAAATATAAAAAATTTCAAAAATAGGTTCTTCACAACATATTATTTAAAATTTTTCCAAAAATTAATTTTAAGATAAGAGTAATTAATTGCTTAGTCAGACTAGTAGTAGATAGATTTTGATTGAAAATGTTATGGCAAATACAAATAAAATTGAATAATTATAAAATGAACTTTATATTTTAAAATAATAATTAAAATAATATTAAATAAAAAAATTTCATAATGAAGTAATTTTTTTTTTTTTTTTTTTTTATAATAAAATTAGGAAATTATAATTATTATTGAAAAAGAAATTAAAAGAAATAAGAAATATTATAAATAAATGCTTTAAGCTAAAAAAGAGTTCTATTTTCAAATTTTAAAATATGGTAAAGATTGCAGAAAAGAAGGATTATCTTGGATAATAAGAAATTTATGGAATAATGGAGATGTAATTAATGATTGTCATTTACCTGATTTTTTAGATGATAAATCAAAGGAATTTATTTTTTAAAAAGCAAATTTAATAAAAGAAATATTAGAAATAGAAACTTTATAAAGTACATCATTAAATATATTTAAATTAAATTCAAATACATAATAATATGAAAACGATTAGAATTTAGAATAAAAATTTTTAAAAGAAAATACTCAAATTTAGAATTTAAATAAATCATTATAAAATGATTGTATATATTTTTTATTTATTATTTTCTAATTAAATATAAAAATAGTAAATATTATAAAAATACAGAAAATAAATGGAAAAGCAATCAATAAAAAATTTTAAGCAAATATTGCTTTAATTAAAAATAATTAAAATTTTGAACAAAAGAAAAATATTTTAGAAAAAATGAGAATTTGTACTGAATAAGACCAAGTATAAAGAAAAAATTTGGGATAAACTTTTGATTAACTATATTCTTGTAAATTAACTTCAAATGATATTATTTATAAATAAGTATTTTTTTAATTTATATATATATTATTATTATATCTATATATACATTTTCTATAATTAAAAAGACTTAAAATAAAATTAAATAATTATTAAGAAATTAAAAAACTTCTACGATTGAATTATAAAATTAAAATAATAATTTTTAATAGGTTTATATATTAACATTTATTTTTTTAATATTTTTAAATTTTAATTAGACTTAATAAATCGACGATACGTAAAATAATATCTAGCAAAATTTTAAAAGCTAAATCTTAATTTATGATGGGGAATAGCCATTAAATTAATTTAATAAGAAAGAAGAATTTTTTATTTTTTTTTAAGATTTATAAAAATAATTAGAAGAAAAAAAGAAAAAATTAAAATTTAAACAAAATGAATTATTTTAAAGACTTTTAAAAGAATATGAATAAAATAATTATTAAAAAAAATCTGGTGTTTCTTTGTCTGTACTATTTTCAGCTTTATTAGGACCTTTTTTAACAGATTAAGAAATAATAAAATATGCTCTTTAAAAAGAGTAAATTTGATTTAAGAAAAAATAAACTTTTAATTAATTATATAAATAAATTAAAATCTAAAAAGCTTTAAATTTATATTTATACAAATAATAATAATATCATTCAAAAAAAATCAAATATAAAGTACATTAAATACCACTTTTATTTTTTATTTTTTAAAAATAACTAAAATATATAATTAACTTACAATTATAAAATATTAACTATAAATACTGAATTTTAATTATTAAAACATTATTAATTTTCTTATTCTAACTAGGATAAAGACTTTTTATTTAATTAAAATTTCTAAAATTATTTATGTATTTAAGTAAAAAAATTCAATTATTATAATCCAGTAAATAATATTTACTAAATTATTTTAAATAGATAACTGTAATTTTTTAATCAGTTTAACTTTAAAATATTATAAAATCTAATTTTTTACAATCTAAACTTTTAATTTAATACTATTTGTTTAATCTAATACTACTATTATTTCCTTTTTAAAAGTATAATATGATATGCTGTTTCCTTAAGAATTTATAATATTATAAAACGAATCATTAGTTTTATTATAATAATCTTTTTTGCAATTAATTTTTCATTAAAAATTCTTATTTGAATTTGTATTAGGATTAAATTTTAAATATCTTTTATATAAAGGATTGATTAATTTATTATTATTACTATTAATTTCAAATTTCTGATTATTCCATTATTTTTTTTTACTTTTTTTATTACTAATCAATATATATATTAAGAATTAATAATAGTGTATGTTTATTAAAATTTGATTTCTTTTAATTTTCCTGAATTCTTTATAACTAAAAATGGAATATCTTGGAAAAATTCAAATTTTATCAACTTCGTTTTCTTTATTTTAATCTAATTAAAAAATTAAAGTATGAGTAGAAAAATACCTTTATATTTTTGTTAACTAATATGTTTTTTACATATTAGTTGAAGCATATTTTTAAAAAAAAACTTTTTAAAAATTAAACATTAAGTAAATAATTTGTTTCAATACTAATTTTTTAGCATTATTAGTATTAATATAATTATATTTGAAAAATAGTATAATATAGATTATAAATATCCTCATATTTTTAACTAGGTAAAGTATTATTTTACTAAGAAGCTTTGCTTTTATTTGTTTGAGTATAGATTTTAGACTGTTAATTTTGTTTCAAGTTTAATTTGTTTTCATTAATATTATCTTTAATTTGAAAATTAAATCTATTAAATTCTTATTATTTTTCAAATATTAATATTATAAAGTTCTTTTATTTTCTCAAATTTTTTATAATATTTTTATATATTTCTCTTTTATTAAATATATTTATTAGTATAAAATAATAATTAATTTGACTTTAATTAGATTTATATAATAAATAATATTAAAAAAATTATTTTTGAATAAATTCTCCCCCCCTATAATTTAATAAGGGTAAATAAACACATAATTTAATATAATTATCATATTTATAACTTAATTTTTAAATTTTATAGTCGTTTATTATTTATAATTATATTTTGGATTGTATTTGTTACTTTTTATAGATATTACTAAATCTTTTTGCATATATATTTGTAGATAGATTTAAAAAATTTATTTAAAAAAAAATCATATATGAATTTCTAAAATATGAAATAATTTATTTCCTTTATTTATATTACTGTATATTATTTATTTCTAAATATATAAATATTTATTTATTTTAAATTTTTTTTATTATTTGAATTATTACTTTTTTCTCATTATTTAAACATAAATAATTTACTAAAATATTAATACTATTCCAAAAGCATATATTTGTGACATTATCCTTGAATAATTACTTAATTCTTTTATATAATTTTTAAAAAAATGGTTATATTTTGTCATTTAATATATTTAATAATTTTCCTATTATTTTAAGTTTTTTAAATTATTTTTAGCATTTTTTAATACGATTATTGTATATATTTATATATATATATTTTTTAAATAAACAAAAAACAAAAAAAATTATAAAAATATTTAAGATTTATATAAAAAAATTTGTTAATAATAAAAATATATATATAAAAAAAAAATGTAAAAAAATATAAGTTTAGATTTAACATAAATAGAATTCCATTCATTTAATTAAATAAATGATAATAACCCTGACAATTTTTTTGATTATTCATAAATTTTAAACTAATTAGATTTTTAAAGAGCCCTTTCATTATAATTATATTCCAAAAGCAATCAATAAATATCATAAACAATCATATAAATTGAAAAAGAGTAAAAAAATAAAATAAAAAAATTAACGAAAAAAATTTATATAATAAAGATAATAAAATTTAAAAACAAATTCAAAAAACTAAGTTAATAGATATTTATCTTACAACAATAAAAATTAGAATAATTAACATAAATTAAAAACACATATATTATAGAATTATCTTCCATAAAATGAAATAATAAAGAATTTAATAATAACATAAAAATAATTTTAACAATAAATAGAAAATAACTAAACATAAATAAGAAGTATTGATAGTAAAATTTCTAAAATTAAGCAAACTCCACTACCAAAAAATAATAATTTTATATAAAATTCCCACACACCCAAATAGAAAAACGTTCAACCTTTAAAAACTTTTAAATTTTCTAAATTAAATAATAATCTTTAATAAAAACTAATTTCATCTAAAAATCTACTTGACAATAATAACCTTTTAAATAATAATACATAATAATTTAATAAACAAGATATTCAAAATATCATTATTTAAAATAATATTAAATAAATTTTAAATAAAAATAAAGTTATGTTGAGTTTATAAAAAAACAACTTTTATTAATAACAAATTTTTAATAAAGAATTAATAAAAAAAAAAACCTTAAATTTTAATAAGCAATTACTTAAGAAATAAGAAAATTAAATTAATATTAATACATAATATATATGAAAAAAGTATAAATAATAAAAAACATATCAAAGAATATTAAAAAAACCCAATTTTTTGTTAAAAAATATAAGAGTATAATACAAATATTGCCAAAATATAATTAACACAAAAATTAAATAAAAAATTATGAATATATGACAATATCTTCATATTTATTTAAAAAAAATAACATTAAAAAAGTCTGAAAAAAATTATAATATGACACTTTCCCATAATTTTTAATTAATTTAACTTATGATTTTATTTTAAATAAAAAAATATAGTTAATTGAAAAATATATAAGTTTATCATTTTCTTTATTAATTTAATATTTTTATAATCAGTAAATATATAACAAAATCTTTTTTTATTTTATTTGATAAATATTTCGATTTTAATATAATAATTTATTTAATTATTTAAAAAATAATTTAGTTAAATATATATAAAATATTTAAAGTTTATTTAAAAAAAGATATAGTAAAATATTTTATAGTTTTTAAAATAATAATATAAAAAATAAATTATAAATAATTCAAATAAAGTAAAGAGATCTCAAAGATTCATATTTAGAATGAGCTTATATCAGTGTATTTTATCCTTATCTTGGATTATATCTATCACCTACAAAATTAGAAAGGACATGAGCATATCTAATAGGTGAAGGTTCTTTAATAGCTCCTGAAAAATTATAATATAAGAAAGTCATTTTGAAAGTTAAAATTTAAAGATTTCTTTTAAAATCTAAATAAACCTAAATATTATTATCTTTATCAATATCACTAATAAAATTGTTATACAAAATATGATAATGTGTTGGCGTTGCAGTACCTTATTATTTTTTAAGTATAAATATTAAAATATTATATATTTTTAAAAAAAAAACACCTTAAGCAGCTTTTTAACTAACTATAAAGTAATCATCTTTTCCTCTTGTTACAACATCTTCAATTAAAGATCCTTATGGAGTATTTTAAGCAGATTAAATTCCAGATTCATTAACTTCATAAAATTTAGCTGTAGATCTCTATTTATAAATTATTATATAAAATAAAAAAATAAAATATTAAGAATATATATAAACAAATTTATAAATAAATATATATATAAATAAATAAATATATATTTATATATATATATATATATTATTTATATATTAAATTATTTTATATATCTTTTTTTTATTTATTTACTTTATTTACTATTATCATACAATATTTGATATCTTAATTTTTAGTCAAATTTTTACAAGCTTACTATATTTAAGCCATTTCAGTTTCAATTATAGTTTTAAATTATCCTTCTCCAACACCATCCCTAAAAATAATAATCTTTTTTTTAAATAAATAAAAAAAAATAACAAAAGAGTAAAAACCTAAAAAGGATATACACCATTATCTTTCTTAAATTCTTAAAGACCAATACTAAATACACCGTTTAAATATTATGTTATTTCTTAACCAGAAGGCAAATTATGTGAATTCGAATAATATTTTGAAAAGTCTTTATCAACTGTACAAACAAAAGCAAATATGGATTCTTTTTTTCCAGGTATATTATGATATACATCAATACCAACAATCATAGTAGGAACATTATTAAAAGGCATATTACTAACTGCCCATGGAACTCCACCAGTTTTAGCACAAATTTAAATTAATAGTTTATTAACAACAGTTCTTAACTATAAAAATAAATAAATATTGATATCTAATATATATTATAATTTAATTAATATTAATATTAATATACATATATATTTATATTAATATTCATATATATTTATATAATATTATTTTATAATAAATACTCCTTTTTAATTAGAAGCAGTAGAAGTTAATATTACTTAAGAAGGAATAGGCTTAATATTAATTAGAAATCTTTTAATATCGTCATAATATTATCCCTATTTTTTTTTTCCAGGTAAAAGTAATATAACCATCTACACATTATCAGGAGCTTTAGCTAAGGCATTAATCCAATCATTTGCATTTCTACTTTAAATAGGAATTGTAATAGGCGGTTTGGCTGGATATTAATAAAATTTTAAACATTCTTGGAACATATTTAATAAATTATCAAATACTTATTTATCCCTATCTGAATATAAAAATGCCCAATCATTTAGAGGGGTTTATTAATACATTACAGTTTAAGTATCTCTATCTAAATTTGCACTCAAAATATTTATTTATTTTTATCCTTTATTCATAAGAATAGCTTCAGGATCTAATTATTTAAATTTAATACTTAAAGGAGTTTCCTATATATCAATATTCCAATCATTCATTGTTTAAGCTGCATCTTTTTTTAAACTTTTAATAAAAATAGTTGCTTATTAAATTCTAGAACCTGCCTTAGGTTTTGTTATTTCTGCAAGTTTTTTCATTAAATTAAAATCTGCTCTCTATTAATTTGTCAATCCTATTAAAAAAAAATAGATATATAAATATATAAATATATAAATATATATAAAATATATATATATATATATATATATTTATAAACTTAATTCTTTACATTTAGATTTATGATTTATTATATATTTTTATTATTTACCTGTTACATTACATAAAGAAGGTATAAGATAATATAATTAAGGAACTTTATTTTTACCTTTTATTTCTTCACATTATATCATAGGTTAATTAGGAGTTATATTATTAATTGAATATTTCTGTGCATAATAATCTGTATATTTTATTTCGTTTTCTTTCTTGTCCTTAAATGTACTTAAAGGATTCATATTTGTAATAATTTCCGTAATTTTATGAAATCTTTTATTGTAACTAGTAATAACTATCATTCCTTTAAAATAAGATAAATCATCTTTTTCTTTATGTTAAATTAAAGCATCTAGAAGCGTAGAATATCTTTATATTCTAAAACAACTATCAATATTTAGTAATTTTTAATTAAAAGTATAAGTTTCTAAAGAACTTGAATACCCACTTAAAACTGCTAAATCATATTCTTTATATTATTATATAGATTTAGGATCAAAACATTTTCTACCCAATTTATTTAATTTTAATTATCCGAATATTTTCCTTATTAGTCTACCAAAGACATTCTAGATTTCCTTTTCGTTTTAGGCTGGTCCTTTGTAGTTTAGGATTATTTTGTTAGACGGATCATTGTTATGTTATCCTACTTAGTATGTTTTTTCATTTAGACTTACAGGAGAATATATGACAGTCCCTTAAAGAATAAATTTGTTCTAGAATATCTCCTTTAGTTTAGTGAGAGAATCTTTAAATATTTAGATTATTTATTCTTATAGTTCTTAAGGTTAAAGGTTTTCAACATCAAATTAATAAGAGAATATATTTTAGCTTTTTATTATTAAATTATAGAAATTACAAATGAATTAATTATTTGGTTTAGAACTTTTTATTAAGCCTTTCATATTTTTTTTTGGGATATTTTTGCAATTTTAAAAAATTATTGTTTATTGTTTTTATTGATTAATAAATGATTTTTTTTATTGTTATTTTATTTTTTTAAGCTAAAAATATATATTATATTAGTTAGAATTTGAGTAAATAATATATTATCAGTTTATTATAAAATATTATACTAAAAATATATTTATACATATATTTGTTTAAATATATTATTATTAAATAATTAATTAATTTCACATATTTCTATATTTATAAACTTAAAAATTAATAAAAACATTAAAATCTAAAAAAATAAAAGAAAAAATAATAATAATAATAATTATTTTTTATAAAATATAAAAAATAATAATAATATGAATACATAATAATAAATAAAATATTTTAATTGTTTAATTTATTAAATAATTATTCAATAAAATTATAAACATTGAATAAGATTAAATATATAATTTTTTTTAATAGATTACTTCAATAATTATCTAATATAAATTATACAAAAAATATTTTAATATAAAAACAATTAAAATATAATAATATTAAATATATTTTTTATTAATATTAATTGTATATAAAGATAAATTAATTTTTTTTTTAAATAATGTTTATAATATATAAATTTTAATTTGCTTTTATTTTTAAATTTTTGATATAAATTTATAATATCAAAAACTTTATCAAAAAGATAAAATATTAATATTAATATTTTAGTTTTAAATATAGTTTAAATAAACATATTTCTTTGAATTTTGTTTCAACAATCAAAATATATATATATATATATATATAATTAATAAATAAAACAAAGTTAATGTTTTTTAATTCTAACAAGCTTATAAAATGTTAAAATGATTAAAAATATAATTTGAATAAAAGTATTAACAGTTCAGATGGCTCTGATGATTAAATAGAATTACCATAAAATTTTAAGTAAAACATTCAAAAACTAGAAGAAATAATTGAAGTATAATAAAATGTAGACATTTAGACAATAAAATAACTTATATAATTGTACACAGTAAAAATAAAATAAAAAAATATATATATTTATAATATTTAATATAATAAAAAATGATTTTTTTTTCTAAATAATATTTATTTATTTTTTTAAAAAAAAAGTTAGGTGTAGAATATTATTCTTCATTAAACAGTGATTTATTTGTGTATTATAAAAATAAAATCGTATCATTACATTAAAAATCTAATGTAATATAATCTATTTGTCAATAAAAATAAAATAATACATAATAAAATAAGAAAGATTATAAATCTTTGAATCATAAACAAATTTAATAGTATCAATAAATGATGTTAATAAAATAATAGATAAATAAGAAAATAGCTTTTTTAAATAAGAAACTGTAATTGAATAAGATTTAAACAAATAATATAATAATATTATAAGTAGATTAAATAATAGAAAGAAAAACAAAGAAAAAAGTTTTAATCATCGAAATTTTTCATAATAATAATAAGATTAAAAGAATTATGAAATTGGTAAACAAATATCATTATTTTATTTTTTTTTAAAAAAAATTAATATTATAAATAATTAAAATAAAAACAAAAATATATATATTTAGAAATAAAAATATATATTTTATTATATAAATATATATATATATATATTTATATCTTTTATTAGATTATTATTGTAATACTTAATCTAGTGATTTTCAAATCGATAATTAAAATTTAACAGTAAATACTTTGATAAATAATATAATTGAAGATAAAAAACGTATCTTGTATTAAGAAAAGAAAATGTAAATTTCTTAAGTTGAATTTGAATATGAAAAGTAAGTTTTTTACTCTGAAAATTAAAACAAAAACTGTACAGAAGCATTTTTATAATAATTAAAAGATATTAAATAAGAAAAAATAAGAAATATCAACTCTTAGTTTTAATTAAAAGAATAACTTGAAATATAAAAAATAAAAGCAAATTTAAATTTATGAAAAAATATAATAAACTTTAATAAAATTAACCCTATAAAATAACAATAAATATATATATATATATATATATATATATATATATTCCAGTATATATAATCTATAACTTTAAAATTATATATTTTTATAAAAATAAAGTATTTAAATAATATTTTCTCCCCTAATATAACTATTGTTAATAAATAAATCATTTTAAAACCTAAGAAACAACCACTAAATACCCATCTCCTCCTCCCAAAAGAAATTTATTAGAAGTGTTTGCATAATCTACAGTAAATATTCCTTTATTAAAATTACTTACACTTCCCAAAGTTTCAAAATTATCTTAACTTTCAAACAATTTAGCCTCATTTTTACCAGATCCTCCAACAAGTATAGAATCGTTATTATTTTTAGAAAACTAAGCAGAGAAAAGGTAAGCCCCATTTTCCTTATTATTTTTATCATATTTAATTTCATGTATAATTCTTCTCTCTTTAAAATCATATATATTTAATTAATTTTTTCCATTATTAGATCCAATAAGGATTTAACCATTTTTATAATCTATGCTTTCTCCTGCAATTCTACCTCCAATAAATTATCCCACACATTTCTTTTATCTTAAATCCCAAATGTTTATATTTGTATCCCAACTTCCACTTATTAATACATTACTATCATCTTATAAAAACTTAACGCAAAATATTCTATTATTATGTGATTTATGATAAGAATATCCCTATCCTTCTAATGAATATTGCATTACTTTACTCGTTTCATCATATATTCTTATCTTTTTATTTAATTTTTACATATTTCCTTTTTGTTTTTTATTTTTTTACTATGCAATCTTTACCAGCTGTAGCTAAATAATTACCATTTTTATCATAATCAAGGCATAATATTTAGTTTTCTGGTTCAATAATTCTTTCTAATTCTTTTCCTATATATATATATTTTTTTTATATTTAAATTATTTAAATATTATTTTATTAATTAAAACCTGATGATGCATGCCACTATACTATATTTCCATTAACATCTCCTGTTGTTATTAAATTTTTAACAATTCCATTTATTTAAGAAGGTCTCCATCTTTTAAATATATTATTTTAAAGTAAAAAAATAATAATATTTTTTTTTACCTCAAACAAGTAACAGGATTTGAGGATTATCCAGGTTAATTTGTTTAAAATTTATTTTTTAAAAGACCTATTTGTTTTAAAAAGTAGATTTTTATAAATTTATTTTATAAAATAACCTGTTTATAAATGATAAATTTAAAGAGTTCCATCTAAACAACCTATTCAAAAAATATAGAATATATAATATAAAATAAATTAATTTTATAATTTTAAATTTTTTATACCAGCTGCTATTAAAGAATCATCTTTATCAAATTTAGCACATAAAATTTCTGAGCCTAAACTAAAATTGTTTTTTAAACCTAATCTTTTATTATTATTATAATCATCTAAAATTCTAATATTTTAAAATAAATAAATATATAAATATATAAATATATAAATATATATATATATATATTCATATATATATATATATATATTTATATTAAATTTAATAATATACGAAAAAGGTAGTTTTTATAAATTATTGTTGTATGAATTCATTTTTTTTTATACAAAAAATATTTTATATATAATGTAATTTTTTATATTAACAAAAATAAATAATTCAATTCAATATTGTTTTTTCATTATTTAAATTTATAAATTTAATTATAATATTTTAAAAATCTTTTAATATTATAAATAATTAAATAAACGTTTTTATTTCGGATTAAATAAAAAATTTCTTTATACTATTTTTAAAATAAAAAGAAAAACATTTATTAAAATAAATTTTAAATTATTTTATTTTTTTGATTGAAAAAAGATTTGTATAATTTAAAAAAAATCAATAGTAAATATTTGTATATAAGATATTAATATATATATTTTATATTTTATTTATTATTTATTTTATATATTAAAATATTATCTTATAAATATTACTACTTTTTAGTATATGTTGATAGTATTCAAATTCAAAATTTTTATAAAAATTCTAATTTTTTTTATTTAAATTCTAGTAAAATTAAATTATTTAAAACATTTATATTATAAGATATTTATTTATTGTAAAAATATATTAATAGTTAAATCATTTTTTGAAAATATAAAAATATAATAATACATATATTTTTATTAATATATCAAAAATTTATATTTAATAGCAATTCTAATTAAATTATATATTATTTATCAAATTAATTGAAATAAAAAAATGTTTTTTATAAAAATAAGATAAAAAAAAATATGTATATAAATAAATATATATGTATATATGTATTTATGTATATATATATATATATATATATATATATATATATATATATATACATATATACATATATACATTTATATTTATATTTATTTACATTTTTTTATTTTTTATTTTATTATTTATTAAATATAAAATATTTTTGTATTTATTGTTTATTCTTTATAATATATTTTAAACAAATAATAAAAAATAATAAAATAAATCATTTATTTTTAAAATATACATTACTCTATCTTTGACTTTAAGTTAAATATTCATCTATTCCCGTATATTATCTATTTTCTCCATAATACTAATTAGTATTAATAGTCATACTACTTTTAGTATTAATATTTTTATTTAAAAGTCTTTGTATATTATTTTCATCTATATTACTATATTTTCTGTCTTTTATTTAACTTCTATTACATGAAATCGTAGAATTTTCAATGGAATTTCTTATTTTTTGCTAATTATTTAGTTTCTTATAATCTTAAAGTAGTATATTATATGAATTTTCAATATTATTTTTTGATGATTCCTTTAATTCAAGTTCACTTTTTAACAAATTAATCTCGTTTCTTAACTATATATTTATTTATTCAAATTAAATATTATTATTATAATTGTTATTGTTATTAATATTATTATTATTATAATTATTTTTATTATTATTATTAATATTATGTTGATTATTTTTTTCTTCAATTTTTCTAATTTTTTCCATTTTTATTTCTAATTTGCTTATTTTTTATTACAAAACATTATATTTTACATCTTATTGCTTTTTCAAATGTTTATAATCTTCCTAAAGTTAAAAATTAGAATCATTTTTTTCAAAATTAATTAATAATTTATTGATATTATTTTTTTCTATTTCTATTTCTACTTTTTGTTATTAAATTCTAAGATATTCTTCTAATAACTGTAAAATTTCTCGATTTTAAATAAAATCTTTAGCTTTTGTATAAAGCTATATATATTATAATTTTAATAAATAATGTTTTTTTTTATTACTATTTAATATATTTTTTAAATTTTTTATATCTGATTTTCTCTAATTCCAATTTTTATAAATTTTAATTAAAGATGATATCTGATTACTAAAATTTTTCAATTTATATTTTAAAATTATTTATATCTAAATTATTTTTTCATATTCTTAAATTTTATATTAAAGATTTTAAATTTATTCATTTTTAAAATATATTTCATTATTTAAAATTTAAATTTCCTTTAATTATTACCTTTAAAAATAAATATATTTAGATAAAAATAATGATAAATATAATTTTATGTATATATAAATACAAAATATATATATTATATATATATAATCCATATATATATATATATATATATATTAATTCTTTAAATTATTTTAAATATATATTTAATTATTTTAATAATTTTTACATTTTTACTCTTAAATATATTTTTATTCCAATAATTATTTATAATTATTAATATCTAAGTTTTCAATTTTGCTTTCATTTTTTTATTTAAGTTCTGTATTTTCTTTTTATATATTATCAAATTACTATTTTAGTTCTTAATAAAAATTGAATATAACTTGTTTTTCTTCTTTAGTCTGTTTAATATCATTTTATAAAGTTGCAAGTTCATTTATTATATCATTAAGTTAGCCTATTAATTATTCTTTTTATTAAACACATTCTTAATTAATATTTTATAAAGTTAATAATTTTAAATTTAATTATTATATTGTTTATTATTAATCATAAATTATAACTTATTAATCTTCATAGTCTAATTATTAATTATCTATTTCAATCTTTTGTAAAACAATAAAAAAAATAAAAAAAATAAAAAATATTAATTAACTTTTAAATTAGCAATTTTAGTAAACAAATCTATATGACATTCATTTGCTTATTTTACTAAATCCATTAAAAATTATTCTAAACCTAAAGTTTTTAAATTCTATTATGCAATTTTATTTAAAGACTTTTTTTTTTTTATTTTATTTTACAATATATATATATATATATACATTTATTTATGTTTTTTATTTTTATAAAATTTCAGATTTATTGGCTAATTATCGTTCTAAATCAAGCATATTTTACTAAGCATTATTATAATTTATTGCTAATTATTTAAATTAATCTAATAAGCTTTAATCCCCTTTAATTTAATTTTAATTGCTACTTGTTCTTTTTTTTATTATATTAAATTATATTCATTTAATTTTGCTTTTAAAATGTTATTTTCTTTTAAATATGAATTTGTTTCGAATTTAAATACTTTTAGACTTCTTTGTTTTTAAAACTAGTTTTATTAATCTTAAATAAGTTAATCATTTTAAATATCTTTTTATGAAATAGAACATATCTAATCATAATCTATATTTTTAGAATTTGATTAATTAAATTAAGGAGACAAGTTTTAATTGTTAATTTACTATTCAGTATTAATTATTTGACTTTAGTATAATAATTAATTATTATCTTACATTTTTTAGTATGTTTTTTTTATTTTTTATGTGTTTTTAATATATTAAAAATGTTTACTTTTTACTTTTTTTTTTTTTTAAAAAAAAAAAATTATAATAGATTATATTCTTTTTTTTAATTATAAAAATTTAAATAAAAATTAATTTTTAAATAATTTTTATAAATAAAGTTTATTTTATAAATAAAATATTTATGTTTTTTGTTAATTATATAATAAAGTAAAAAAAAAAGTTTATAATTAATAAATAAATATTTAAAATTATATAAAAAAAATATTATTAAATAAAATATCTATATTTTAAATAATATATCTATATTTTAAAAAATTTTATAATAATAAAAAAAAAATTAATATAAATTATTTAATTAAATTTATATTAAAATAATTAATAAATAAAGATTATAATATAATTAAATAATTATATTTTTATTTTATTTTAAATTTAATTTTTTTTTTAATAATTATAAAAAAAAAATATAATATTTAAAGTTATCAAAAAGTAATAAAAAATAATAATATATTTAATTAAAAAAATAAATTCAAGAAAATACTAATAGTTTTATTTAAAATTTATTTAATCTCAGTATTAATATTAATCAAATATTATATTTTTCATTAAAGATTTTGATTATTTCAATATTCATTTTCTTATATTTCGTATTCATCATCAATTATAATTTTATAATTCTTATAATTTTTTTTTTTTTTAATAAAATATAAAAAAATATGATACCACTTATTAAGTTATACTAGCTTTTTTTTAAACTAATTATAAATTATTATCTTAATCGTAACCATCTAAATATTATTCATTTTATTATTAATCATTATATAAGTCTAAACTATTGATAAAAAATATAGTAAATAATTAAATTTAAATATGTTATTTGAATAAAATAATTTATATTTTAAATAAAATAAATTTTAATTATGAAAATAGGCAATAAAAAAATAATTTATTAATAATTATCATATTTATTGCATAAATAATGTATAAAAAAAAATTAAAAAAAAATATTAAAAATATAAAAATATATGAAATCACAAATATATATTTTATAGTATAAAGAAAATTATATATTTATTAATATATATGAATAAATATATATAAAATAAATATATATATATATATATATATATATATATATATTATAATATAGAAATATATTAATTTTAATATTTATTTATTTAATAATTTTTATTTTTTTATTTTTTTATTTAAATATCTTTTTTTATTTATATTTACTTATCTTAAAATTAATTTTTATTATCTATTTGTTCAATTATGCTTTTATTATTTTAAGCTACATTTTCTTCTTATTCTATTTTAAATTTATCAATATTTTGATATACTTATGAATCTTCATCAATTTCCTATTTGAAATTTTCCTATTATAATGTATTAGTTTATTCTGTTTCCTTAAAATTTTTTATTCAATTAAATTTTTTAATTTTTTTTTAGTTATTATATATTTATACATATTATTATTCCATTTCTTCAATTATTTATTTTTCATCGTTATATTTATTTATATTATTTTAATATTATGAGAATTCTTTTTATATAAAAATTGAATATTTATATTTTATTTATAAATAAAAAAAAAATAACTTGATTAGTTTTTTTTATTTTATTTGATATTTTCTTCATAATTTTTTATATTTTTACTTTCCTTATATTAAATTGTTTCATTTATAAATAAATTTTCTGTTTATTCATTTTCTTCTTAATTTTTTTGATTTTTACTAGATTATATTATTTCATTTTTAATTTTATTTTCTGTTTTTTCATTTTCTTCGAGATTGTTTTCACTATTATTTTATTAAATGGTTTCATTATTTTTAACTGTATTCTCTATTTATTCATTTTCATATATATTTTTTAAACTTTAATTAGATTAATAGATTTCATTTTTAACTCTATTTTCTGTTTTTTGACTATCTTATTAATGTTTTTGATTTTTATTAGATTATATAGGTTCATTTTTAAATTGATTTTTTTCATTTTCTACATCTTCACTAATTTCTTAAATATCTTATTCTTAATTTATGTAATTTTCTTTCTAATTAAAATATTCTTCTACTTCTTAATTTTCAATTTCTTCTTATAAATTATACTATTCTTATTGTTCTTTATTTCTTTCTTTTTATTTTTATTTTTCTTATTCTTCTATTAATTTTTAATATTCTTATTTTTCTTTTTAAAATATTTTTTATAATTCATTTTCTTTTCTTATTTTTTCTTGTTCTTCTTTTTCTTTTTTATTCTCTATTATTCTTCTTTTTTTATTCTTTCATTTTCTTCTTTTTCTCTTTTAAATCTTTCCTATTCTTCTTTTTCTCTATTAAGCCTTTCTTGTTCTTCCCTTTTTTCTCTTTTAAGTCTTTCTTATTCTTCTTTTTCTCTATTAAGCATTTCTTGTTCTTCCCTTTTTTCTCTTTCAAGTCTTTCTTATTCTTCTTTTTCTCTTTTAAGTCTTTCTTGCTCTTCCCTTTTTTGTCTTTTAAGTCTTTCTTTTTCTTCTTTTTCTCTTTTAAGTCTTTCTTGTTCTTCTTTTTCTCTTTATAATTTTTCTTATTCTTCTTTTTATCTTCTTTTTTTTTCTTATTCTTCTTTTTCTTTTCTAATTTTTTCCATTTCTTTTTTAAGTTTTTCTTATTTCTCATTTTCATCTTTTTCTTTTTAAATTCTTAACTATTCTTCTTTTTCTAATCTAATTTTTTCTAATTCTTATTATTCTTTTTATAATTTTTCTAATTCTTATTTTTTCAATATTTCCAATTCTTCTTTTTATTTTTATTCAAATTCAATTTTTTCTCTTTATATTTTTTACAACTCTTCTTTTTTGACTTTCTCGATTTAGTTTTTTGATTTTTTTACATCATCTTTTTAGTTTTCCTTTCTTGAATCTTTTCTAGATTCATATTATTTTTCATTTTTATTTTCAAAACAAGATTTTTATTATTCATTTTATTTATTATGTTATTCATTTCTAGTTTAAGAATTAGATTTTGTATTCCTTTATCCTTATTATGAAACTACTAGATTTCTTTCCGGAATATTTTGTTATTATTCAATTACTTAATCAAATATTTCTTTAGAATTATTTTCAAAATCTTAATCATAACTTTCTTCATTTTCCTTTTCTTAAATTGTAGAAGCTCTATCTTTAGAAATTTTATCGAAATAAAAAATATTAAAAAAGTCTTGAATAATTAATTTCTACAAATTCTCACCTGATCTTTCAAATAATCTTGCAATTAGTAAATCCATAGCTTCGAAACTAATTTCAATAGAAAATTATTAAAACACTTAATCAATAGTTTAAAATCCAATATGTACTTTATCAAAAGATGCATTCTCTAAATATTTCTTTAATGCTTCTCCTTTTGTTTTTAATAAATAAAATATTTCATTTTCATAATCAATGTAATTAATATCTAATGAATGTATATCATATACTTATATAAAACTTAAAAATGCTTCCTTTATTATATTTACATCACATTCTTTTTTTGAATTATATATAATTTCTTCTGTTTAAACATCTGCCTCAACTAAAAATCGAGATAAATTTTATAAATCTTATTATGAACTTACATTAAATGGATATCTTTTAAAAATAATAAAAAAAAAATATGAATAAATTAAATATAAATTATAAAAACAAATAATTAAATAGAATTTATAAATTTATTTATATATATATATAAATATATATATTTTATAATTATATATATTTATAATTATATATTTTTCCATTAACATTTTTATATATTATTTAATTTTTTTTTTTTTATAAATTTTTTTTTTTTTTATTTATACATATATTTGTTTTTTTTTACCTTGATAAAATATTGTTTATTTCTTAATAATTAGCTTTTCCTTTTTTTTCAAGTTCATTTGGTATTATAAACTTTATTTTTTTTAAAAAAAATTAATTTTTTTATTTAATATATATATACTTTTTATATCTCCTCATAAGGTATTTTTTTATTCATTAATTTAAATCTTATTTAATAGGCAACTTCAGATATCTACAAATAGCTAATTTTTTTTTTTCTTTAAGGAGATAAGCATTTTTCATTTTTCCTACTTTATTTTTTTATTATTTATTCTAATTCTAATATCTTTCTTTATGCTTCATTTAATTCTTTTTAAATTCGATTCTTTTAATTAGTCATTTTTCTTATTTATTTTATTAATAAATAATATATATTTTATTTTTTACTCTAATTATTAATTTATTGGTATTTAGGACTATACCAATACTTATTTATGTTATTATAATTCTTAAGATTATGTATTTTTTTTATCGTTTTATTTATATTAAAGTAATTATTATTCAGTATTTTTCTGCATTTTTTTAAACTATTAAATTTCTTTTTGATATTGCTTATTTTCTTTTTATATCACTTATAATTAATTTTCTTATTATATGCTTTTTTATTCAAAAACTTTTAGATTGTTAGCCATTTCAATGTTGTCTTTTTTTAAACTTTCTATAATATTTATTTATTTTTAAGTTTTTTATTCTAAATCTCCTAATTTTAATTCTTAACTATTAACATTTTTCTAATCTTAAATTATTTATTCTATAATTGCTTTAAGTCTTATTATTTCTTCACCGTATGTGTTTTTTTCAATCTTTTGAATTTATTTTTATCATATTAAAATAAAATAAAATTTATATATGTATTTATATACTTCTAATTGTTAAAATGTTGTGTATTTAATATTTCTTTTAAAATTTTCTATTTCTAAGTTTTTTTATTTAATTTCTTATTATTGATCTTATATTTATTTTTTCAAATTCACAAATAAATAACTCTGATAAAAAACAATAAAACAAAATTAATTTAAAATATATATATTTTTTTACATCTTAACAAAACTTAGAATCCTATTTATTCTAGTATAATTCTTCAATTATTTTCTCATATTTTAATATTTATTTTTCCATATTTAATTATTTAGTTTTTAAATTTTAATTCAATTTTTTTATTTAATTTACAACCTATTTCTAAATCATTAACTCTTCAAATATTTTTTCCTATAAATAAACTTTTAACTAAATCTTGAATTTTATGTTTATTTTATAAAAATACCTTATCGTAAGCTTAAAAATTAGCTCTAAATAAATCTTGTTAAGTTTTTTCATATTAATTGTGTTATTTACTATATTATAATTATAATAAAATATAATTATAATATAAAATAAAAGATTAATATATGATACTCTATATAAGGATTTTTTTTCATGAATTCAGGTACAGTTGATGGTCGTGAAAAACTCATAACAGATTCCTTTTATACAAATTGATTAGCATTAATATTTTTCTTAAGAAAATTATTGCTATTTTTATGTCTTTTATATAAATAAGAATATATATTTATATGTTTATAAATATATATTGAAATAATTAGTAAAATAAAAAAATAAATTATAGAATGATAATAATAAAAATGATAATAATAATAATAATAATAATAATAATAATAATATATATTTTTCAACATTATGAATTATTTAGGATATAATTTAAAATTGTCATATGTATATGTGCTACATCCACCAAAATCATTATTAATTTCGTTTCTAATGTGTTTTATTTACTCTTTTTTTATTAATATTAAATTTATTATTTATATTAATATAATTAATATCATAGTAACAAATATTTTATACTTCTTTTATTTCTTGATTAATATTCATTTCTGTATTATTTTCGTTTGTTTAATTTTTGCTCCTATTTTTATTAATTATAATTTAGGTTTTTTAATTATTATTATTATTTTTAAACAAAAATTAATTATTAAATTATATAAAAAAGTTTTATTTTATTGATATATTAGTATTTATATATTATTTTATTACAACCAATTTTAAAATTTTAATGAAATTAAACATACATATTTTTAAAATATATATAAAATTATTATTTAAAAAAAAAGCAAAAAATAATAATATTTCTACGAAAATATTTTTTTAATAATTATAATATTTTTATAAAAAAAAAAATTAAATAAATGATTAACGAAATTTAATATATATATATATATATATATATATATATATATATATATATATTTATAATAACAATTAAAATATAAAATAATATATTTATAATAAATAATTTTTATAAAAAACTTATTTTTTACATAGTATATATATATAATATTAAAAATAAACAAAACATCAATATATAGGAGTAGCTTAAAATTAAATTTCTTTATTTTCTATTTTTGATTATTTAACAAGTGAAGAATACAAATAACTATTCGGAATATTTTTTTAATTTTAATAACTTTATTTTTTAAGCATTTCATCATGACTTAAAGGTATACATCTAATATTTATAGGAATAATATTAATCAATAATCTAGCTTTTGCATCAATATAATTTTATTAATTTTCTTCATAATGTGCAAATAAATCAAAATAATACTTACAATTAAATTACTTTCCATAAAAGCTCTAAACCATATTTTAAGGCATAATAAACTAAACCTAAGTATTAATTAAATCTAAATTTTAATTATCAAAACTAACAATTTATTCATTAATTTTGCTAATTAAAGTTTACTTATCAAATTCTTTAATTTGATTTCTTAAAAATTTATTTTTGCATTTTCCTAAAAATTATATTTCTCTCAAAAAAATACACTTTAATGATTTTAAAGGCATTTTTACTTCTTTATTATCTACATTTATATCAATTATAGTATTATCCCCACTTTCATATCCATATTTATCACTTTTTAAAAAAATATTCACATTACCATACTCTTTTCCTTACTAGTTTTTTAAAATTCCCTTACTATTACAACTTTTTCCCTCTTCGTAAAAATCAGCTTGCAATTAAAAAATTGCTGACCCTTCGATTTTTTGCACTTCTTCAGATAACAACTCAATTGGTTCTAAAATCGCCTTAATTTAATATACCATACTTACTGCGAATTTTTATTCTTTTTCATTTATTATTACACTTGAATGCTAGGCTTTTAAATTTTGAGGAATTTCGAATTCGAAAAAATATAAATGCTCTCCTGCTTTTATTGTGTTTACAGGAATTAATTTTATTGTTTCGCCATATACTTCATTCTCAGCATATTGTGCTGTACCTTTTCTTATTGATTCGATTCCTCTAAACCTTATTGATAATTGTAAACCTGGATAATCTTGATTTAAATTTAATTTTAATCTACCTGATATTATTTCACCTTTTTATACTTTATTTTTTTCAATATTTACTTCTAATTATCCATATTTATCTTTTTATTAATTCTCGGCAGAATTACAATTACCCATATTTAATTTATTTTTCTTTATTACTTTTATTTTAATTAATTATTTTATTAATATTTTTTTTTTTGTTATAAAATAAAATATTTTATTTTTTATTTTTTTATTTTTTATTTAGTTAGAAATGGTTATATTTATTTAGTATTTTTTACATTTTCTTTATTAATATAAATTTTATATTTGTTATTGTTATTTCTTTTATGTAATAAAATAAATTAATAATTAATAATTTAAATATATATTTTAATAATAAACACTATTAAATTGATTTATTTTATTTTATTAAATTTTAATAATTATTTTACATATAATAAATATTGTTAAAAAAAAAAAAACATTAGTAAATAAATCTTATATAATTAAAAAAAATAAGATAAAACTAATAATATTAGAAGTAATTATTACTTCAAATTATTTCATAATAATATAAATGTTGAAAAATTATTTAATTAATATTATTTTTTAATATAAGATATAAAAATAATTGTATTTGATATATATATATATATATATAAATATATATATATATATATATATATATAATTTATATAGTTCTAATAAAATATAATTTTTAAGACTTATATAAATAATAAAATAGTTAAATTAAATTTACATAAAGATATAACAAATAAAATAAATAATTTTAAGAAAGTAAATAAATTTTGCTTAAAAAAATAAAAATTAAATAAAAATTAAATATATTAATAATATAAAAATATATAAAATATTAACCAAAAGTATAAATTTCGAATTTCATATATATAAATCTATAATATTTTTATTTATATTATTAATAATTAAATATTTAATTTTGATATTTTTTTTAAAAAAAGAAATGTTTTAAATATTAAAATTCTATTTTCATTAATTAGTTCCAGCTAAATTTTATTACTTCATTATTAATCCTATTTTTTTTTGATAAAAAGGTTACTTTTTATATTTCTTTTTTTTATTTAAATTAAATAAAGAAAGAAAATAAATATTAAATTATAATAAATATATTAGTTTTTATATAATTATAAAAATTACTTTTTTATCTTAATTTTTCCATTAAATCATCATCTTTTTCATTTTACTTTTCATTATCATCTTTTTATTTAACTTTATCTATACTATTTTTTTTTGCTAATTGTATCTTTTCTCTTAATTTCAATGCAGACTCTTATAAACTTGACTTTGGTTTAAGTGGAAGGACTAATTAAGGAATGTGATGTTGAGAATCTTGAGCAAGGCTTTAATTCTATTCTTAATTTGAAGTATTTTAATTTTAAATAATTTACTTTTTTTCTAAATTTTATTCTTGTATTGAATTTTTGTTTTCTATATTATTAATTATTTCTTTATCTTAATTAATTTAAACTTAAATGGATATTTTTTAATTATTTTTATTTAATGTAAGCTTTAATTAACTTAAAAAAGCTTACTTATCTTTGCTTATAATATCTATACTTTTAACAATACCTTTTTCTTATTATTATTATTAATTTTATATATTTTAATTATTTCCTTATTTTAATTCTTCTATTTAAATTGGATTTTTTTCTTATTTCAAATTTATATTTTTCACATCTTATTCTTATATTTACAATGAATTGTTAGCTTATTATTATATTTAGCTTTTTTATTATTCCATTTATTTATTTTAAGATTATATGATTTATTTTATTTAAGTTTAATTTTCTTCTATTTACATTTTTTAGTAGTTATCATCTTATAATTTTTTCGTTATTTTTTTTCTTATGTACTATTTAAAGTTAATTCTTATATGTCTATACTTTCTTATATATTAATATTTTTATTTTAAGTATTTAATTTATTTGATTTTTCTTCTATAATCTTATTTTCTTCTATATTATTATTATTTTTATATTCTATATAATATTTATTATTTTCATTTTCAATTTAAGTATTATTGAATTTTTAATCTTAATTTTTTAAACTAAAATATATATATTTTTATATATATTTTTATTTTTTATTAAAAAAAATAAAAAATTAGATTTTAATATATAAAATATTTTAATAAAAAATTACTTATTCTCTTCAGTATTTCTTTAAAATTATTCAAAATTTTTATTATTTTTTAGAAACACTATCATCTTTTTTTTTTCTTTATTATTTTCTTAACTTTTTCTATTTTAGTATCTTTTTTCTGAATAACTACGTTTATTTTTGTTATGTTTTTTATTTTTATGGTGTCTACTTGTACTTCTTTTTTTATCTTTTCGGTCTCTACTATCTTTGTATTTATAATCATTGTTATTTTTATTATCATTTTAATATTAAAAGTTATTATTTTAATAATAATTTTTTTAATTTAAATCTTTATCTCGATGATTAGATCCGTTTCTATTTCTTTTTGGGCTTTTCTCTCTATATTTTTCTTTTCTTATGATCTTCGGGATTCTTTATTTCTTTTTTTTCTATCCCTACTATATGAACGTTTTCTAGATTTTGATTTTTTATGGTGTGAATAAGAACGCTTTCTTTATGAAAATTATTCTCTTTCTCTATGCTAAGATTATGATCTATCTTTATTTATTATTTATTATGATTTTGATGATACATTGAAATTTTATTAATTATTTTATTATTATTATGTTTATTATTATTATATTTATTATTATTAAGCAAACATTTAAGATTAATTATAATAATTTATAGGTTAAGATAATAGAGTTTGAAGATTAGACTACTATGATTATTATTAAGAAATTTAATTCTATTAGAAAGGTTATTAATATGAATACATTATATTTTATTATTATTTCATAATATTAAATTATTATTATTATAAATATTGAATATTTTATAGTTTTTTATTGTTTTCAATCATTGAAATTTCTTAATTATTATTAATCTATTAAAGGCTTATAAGAGAATAATTTTCTTCCATATATTTAACTGGAAATCTTTCCTAATTATTATTTTTTTAAGCAATTAAATCCAGTATCTTTTTGCAATCTTCAAACTTTGGCATTTTTTTACTAAATTAATTATAAATATTTTGTATTTTACCACCTCCTAACATCAAATTCTCATATGAAGTTTCCATTATAGTCCACCAAGGAGTTCTTGGAACTTCCATTTTCTCTTTTCTGAAAGCTAAATATATACATGAAGCAACTATCATTTAAAATGGTAAAAACAAACATAAATCAGTCCTATAGGAATCATTTAGATAATTAAATGCTTTTCGAGTGAAATTCTAAAATTATATCTATTATTACATTGTCTACTAATTATTTGGATTTGATTTGAACAAATTAATATAGAAGTACATTAATCTATGTGGCTGCTCATTCCATGTTATTTAATATAATTCAAAGCCCAATTATTTCAATATTTATCTCTCCATTTCTTTTGTTACTTTTTTTATATTTTGAAACTTTTAACTACCATCATCTAAAATAGTTATTGGTCTTTCACTTCCATCTTCAATCTTTTTTTTTTTATTTGGTAATTAGCTTTTTGTAAATATTTTTTTTTTTTTAAATATCAAATAATTTTTATAAATAAAATATTTTTTAATATTAATTCTATATATAAAAAAAAATAAGTATATATATAGAAAGAGAAATAACATTTTTTTATATTTTAAATATTATTCAAAAAAAATAATAATAAAAAATAAATAAATGATAATATATTTGTTACTTTAAATATTTAATCAAATACATATGCAATATCTCTTGGTTTTCTAATAGTTTCTTATGCTTTTCCAGCTAAAAAAACTGCACCTAATGCTACATCTCTTATATCAAATTTTAAAAAAGAAGATCTAAATATATATAAAAATATATAAAAATATATAAATATACATAAATATATATATATATATATATATAAACATATATATTATATATTTATTTATATTTTTTTATTTTTAACTTTGTATAAAATCTATGTAAAATAGTTTAAGCAGACACACATGTTGTAATTGGTAATTATAAAAATTAACAAGCATCAGATATAATACTTGCTCCGTAAAAATGAAATAATGTTTATTGTTCTTTTGTAAATCCATCAATGTCAGCTTAGATAACTGAACCAAATGATAAATATAAATTAACATGAGGTTAGTCTAATAATTACGTTATTACCTCATTTGATTAAGAGGATAATTACATTAATTTATTACGTAAGCTAGGAAATAAATATTTATCTTCAAAATTTTTTTATGTTATACCAAGTCGTTTCTCGAATTGGATAAATTAATCTAAATGTGAGTTTGCCATTAATTATATGTTATTATTTGTTATTAATTTTGATTTTTTTTAATATTATTATTAATTTTTGTTTTTTCCTTTTTAAATTTTTTATTTTATGGACTAATAAAAATATTTTAATTAGAAAATAATACTAATATATATATATATATATATATATTTATATATATTTTTTATTGATTTTTCTTTTTTAATGTTTTTCAAAAATATTTAATTTATTAGTGTATTATATTATTTTTTAAAGATTTTTTTTTAATGTTTATATTTTATATATTCAAATTTTTTTTATTTATCTTTATAATATTTTTTTATTATTGTATTAATCTAATTTTAATTTTATATAATTTAATAAAATTTTAAACTTTTTTTTATATAATTTTATCATTTTACTAATATAAATATAAGTTTTTTAATGCAAATAACATTTTTGAAATATGAATAAATTATTTATAATTTAGTTTTTTCAGAAATATAATTTTAAATTATTAATTAATCAAATATTATTATATTTATTTCACAATTATAATTTAAAAATAATAATTTTAATTTATAAACTTTTATTTTTTTTATATATTTATAAACTCATTTATATTTTAAGTTAGTAGTATTTTTTTTTAAATATAAATTATAAAATATAATATAATTATATAAGTTTAAAAAAAATATCAATATATTTAAAAATTATTTTTAATTATAATATTTAAAACTTATATATTAGTTTCAATTTATACATAAAAATAATGAAATATTGATATAATATATTTTTTAATTAATAAAATTTTATAATTAATTTTTTTATTAAATTATTTAAATATAACAATGAGGTAAAAATTTAAAAAACTTATTTAATTATATAACTTATAAATTTTTAATTATTTAAAATAATAATGAATTATATATAAAATGCAAAAATTTTATATTAAAATAAATTTATTATATTAATTAAAAATTCTTTGAAATAAAAAAAATTAATAGCATTAAAAAATATATATATATACAAAAAAATGGACTTCGATGTTGAAGATGATTAATAATTGCCTTTTGCTGAAAATTAAGATTAATAGTAAAAAAAACTACTGAAAACATACAAAAGTAGCTTAATATTAACAATATAAAAACCTTACCTAAATTATAACATCTGTAAGCTATGTAATAAACATAAACATAATAATAATAAAATCTAAGTGAAACATTTAATTAAATAATCTTTTTTAGATTAATAAGTGATTAAAAAATCTTAAAAATAAGAAATTTATTATAATAGTTCTCAAATACAAAAGAATGTAATTGAAAAATATATAAAAAGTGATTAAAGAGATTAAAAAAAATCTTAACAATTTAGTATTAATTCAATAAAAAATCTTAGTCTCTAAAAAGATACTACCATAACTCCTTTTTAAAATTCTCGTTCTTTTAATCCTAATTCAAATAGTTCTTAGGCTCCTACTTAAAACATTAAAAAAAAAAGCAAAAATATAACTGAAGATGTTGAATAAAAAAGTTCTAATGTTATTAAATAATTTTAAATGTAATATTAAGAATAAATAAATAATTTAGATAATTAATTAAAATAAAATGCTTTTAATATTTAACAATTAATTTCTCCCTATGGACATAAATTAGTTTAACTTTAATAAATAAAAAAAACGAAACATTAGGTATTTAATAAAACACAAAAAGCTTATTTAGATTAACTAGTAAGCCATCATCTTAAATTTAAACATTGATTGATATTAATGAAGAGTAAATTATTCCAGTTACTGAAATTTAAAATAATAATAAAAGTAAAATGTTGGAAAATAAAGATGCTTAAGAAAGTGCACTGCTTAGTTAACAGAAAGTTAGTACTATGAATTATTTTAATGAATAAATGAATAATAAAAATAATTTTTCTGTAAAATTTATTGATAAATGCTTATAATTATCTTTCTAATGTATTTTTTTATTATATATAAAAATATAAATATTTTTTTTTTATAAAAAAAAAACAAATAATAAAAAGAAAAAAATAAATAATTTGAAAATGAATTAGAAAATATAAAAAATTCCTCAAAATTATTAGAAATTATAAATAAAGATTTTTTGATTGAATAATAAAAAAATACAAACGGATAAGTACTATCAGAGAAAGATAAATATAAACTTTTTTAAGTAATAACTGATACAGATAAAATAATAATTCATACATCGTAAAATAAAGTAATAAAAATATATTTGTATTAAATAAATAAATTAATTAAAAATAAAAAAAATATAAATGAATAAAAAATAATTATAAAGAAAAAAAATAGGATTTAATGAATATTAGTGAAAGAAAAGATGTAATACGATTAGCATAATGGTTAGAAAATATGACAAAGTAAATATACGAATAAAAAGATTTAAATTTTAATGAGTTTTTTGAAAATATGTAATTAATATGTAGTGCTTGTATGAGTGAATTAATAAGATAAGTAAGTATGCATTTATCTGAAAGAGGATAACTAATAAATAAGATTTGGGAAACTTTTTTAAATCTAATGAAAACTGCATTCGAGTAATTATCAGAAAAAAAACAAAAAAACGAGAAAATACTTTAAGATGAAATAAAAAAAGTGCATAGAAATTATTTAAAAAAATTAGATGATTATGTTCCTTTAGTAGAACAATTATAAAAAAAAATAGAAGAAAAGGAATAAATAAATAACCGAATAGTACTAGAGTTTCGATATTTAAGGAAAAAGGATTCTAAACTTGAAAAATATCTAAAATTAATAAAAAAAGACTTCAGAGTTCTTGAAGAAGATTACAAAAAACTTAATTCAGAATTTTTGAAATTCTAAGAAATGTATGTCAGATAAGATGAATTTTATCAAAAAACAATTATGAATTTAAAAGAAAAAAATTAAAATGATAAATTATTGGAAAATTATTAAATAAAAAATGAAAAAAATAATACATTTTTACTTGATTTTAATATATCTTCCACAGATATGCATTAATAAAATTTTTAGGAAATCTATAAAAAATCTTAAGATAAAGTTCTTAATATTTAATAAAATTATAAGGATTATACAGAAGATTATAATGAGTATTTTTATTTTATTTTTAATAAATTAAATTTTATAATTAAATAGATTAGAAAATTAATATAATAAAGATTTACATAATTATAATTAAAATAATAAATTAAAAACTGATTATATTGAAAATCTTGAAGAAAGGTTAATTTAAGAACGTAAAGCATATCTTTTAAATGAAATAGATTAAAGAATTATTGAAGAAATAGAAGGAAATGATGGACTAGTATTGATTATAGCCCATTGCGGTACTTAAACTCATCCTGAATTACTTTAATTAAATAATAAAGAAACTGATACTTAAAATTTAATACTTTTAAAAAATAAATAAAATTAAACTTTTGTTAGAGAAATCGATGTTAAAGTAATTTATTTATTTTATCAACTTTTTAAAATTTTATATAAATAAAGGAAGTTTAAACCCCTATAACATGGATATAGAAAAAACATACTCTTTAAAATAATTAAAATGATTATTAATAAAAAGAAGAAGTTAAAATAAATATATTAGAATATTAGAAAATTTCAGAAGAAGAAAACGAAAATATTCTAACTAGTAAAATAGATGAATATATTAATAAAAGTATAAAAAAGGAAAATAAGGAAAATTAAAAAATGAAAGAAAAAAATTAATAAAATAATATTTAAAGTTTCATTAATAATAAAGTAGAATAATAATTAGATAATTTTTATAATTTAGTTGAAGGAAGATCTGGTTATTTATAAAATTTAATTAAGTAAATTGTTGAAAATGAACTTTTAAAAGAAAATGAAATAATTAATATGGAATAGATAAAAGAAGTAATATAAGAATCAAAAATAATACAAAATGAAGAAAAAATAAAACTTTAATAAATTATAGAATCAAGCAAAAAAAATATTGTTGAAAATCTAAAGCAAAAATTATTAATTGTAGAAAAAGATATAGATATAAAAGAAGTATAAATTAAATATAAAAAATATAATATAAAAAAAAAATAAAATATAAATATATAAATATATATATTTATAAATTTTTATATATATATATATATATATTTAATATATTTTATACATATAAATTAGTCTATCAAAAGAAATTCTTATTTTGAATAATAATTATAATAATTTGAATAATATTCAGACAATGAATCAATAAAATCTTTAAATAGTTCTTTAAATCTAAACGAGGAAAGTTTTGAAAATTTACTTAAAAGTGATGATGAATAAGATAAACAATAAACTAAATCTGAAAAATAAAAAAATCTTGACAAATCTTATGATGCATAACATGTTTCTATAGTTGTTACAAGTACTGAATCTTAACCAAACAAAAAATAAAGAAATATTCTTTAATAATTAGAAATAAAGAAATAATCTAAAAGAATTAATATGAATTATTCAAATACTATATCCCTATTTTTAATAAATTAATAAATAGAAAAAATCAGTGCAACTAAATTCATTAATAAATAAAGATATTAACCTTATAAATAAAAAAATAACAATAATTAAAACAGTTAATTAAATGAAGTATAGTAGTGGTTAAGAAATGTGAATTTTCCTAAATAAAAAATAAATTAAAATAATATTATTTAAAGCATATCTCCAAATTAAGAAAGCGCATATTATTTTTTTACATAAATAGCTCTTAAATATATGAATAAGAAAATTAAATAAACTAATAATAATAATGTAGTTCTTAAATAATAAAACGTAATTAAACATATTCTTAATATTTATTAAGAAAAACTTAAATTTGTCAAATAAAATGATTAAACAACCAATGAAAGACCCTTATATGTATTTTCTTATGATTATTTTTTAAATTAATTCGGTTTTAAGAAACTTGCAGAAACCAAGCTTAAACAATTTCTTTTAAGCTCCATCTATTATAGTTAAGGCAATCTCAAAATTTAAACTTTTTTAAAGCTATATGGAATTTCTTCCCACTTTAATTTCGATAGTGGTGAAGATTTTCATTTTTTTGCTAAAATTTAAGCTTTTATCGAAGAGTAAGTAAATGCTTAACAACTGTAAACAAATATATACCCATAAAATAGAATAAACGAGGCTTTATAAAAATTTTTGGAAGGCAAAATTCCGTCTAATGAGTATTAAAAAATTAAACAAGAATTAGAAAGTCAAAAAATATAAGACATATCATATAAAGTAAAAGGAAAATACGCCATAGACATAGATATAGTTCTTAATTAATTTCTTAACGGAAAAATAGAAGAAAAAAAACTTGACATAATAAATATTTTAAATATATTCCAATGTATGGATTTAGGAGGAGAATTAATAGTAGGCTTTGAAGAATTTTTTATATTATATAAACTTTTAGAAAAAGGCTAATAATAATAATAACTTAATTTAATGAAATTTTTTTTTGATATTTGTGATCTTTATGATTGTTTTGGTAGACGAAAAGTAATTTCGCTTAAAAAATTTGCATTTTTATGTTTAAAAGGGAATATTTTTAGTCGGGAAAATATAAATAACTTTTATTAATAATAATAGAATGATGGATTAGATTGTGTTAAAAATTTTGAAGACTTAAAAAAGTTTTGGACTGATAAAAAAGATATTATTAGAGTTAGGTTTGTTTCTAGTAATTAATATAATATATTCTTTAGGTAAATGATTATTAAAATTGATGAGTTATTAGAAGTTAAAGGTAATATAAATAATGGTATTTGTTGGATTATGTATAAGGTTTTGGAAGAATAAAGTAAAGAAGTTGTTCTTAATTAGTTTTTGGATGATTTTATTTCAGATTAACTTTATTAAATTAATTTTTATTGTTTAAATACTTTTAAATAGGTATATTAGAAATTTTGATTAATTTTTTCTTTTAAAAATATATTTTTCTATTTTATCGTTTTCTTTATTTTTTAAAAATTTATATTTATTTATATTTAATTTAAATTAGATAAATAGTATTTTTTTATTTTTTTATTTTTTTTGTATATAAATAATTTAAATAAAAAAAAAATAGTACATCACCTTAATTTATAATTATATCGAAAAAAAAAAAAAAAAAACAAAAAGAAAAGTAATTAAAATCATAATATTAAAAAATAAAATTGTAAAGTTGTTTCAAAAGACTATTTTAATTTTTTTTTTTTTTTTTTTAGCAATCATTTATTACTATTAATTTAATAATAAATTATATTAAATATATAAAAAAAAAATTCATATATATATAATTACTAGATACATATATTTATAAAAAATGATATAATAATAAAACAAATCTCAAAATAATTACAAAATATATAACAATAATTCAGAATTAATTAAAAATTAATATGTCCTTTTACAAATGCTATCTGAGGGATAATATGGTAAAGTTTATAAAGCCTAAGATTTAAACTCACAAAAATTAGTTGCAATTAAAATGATGAAAAATTCAGTATAAATTAATAAAAACACAAAAAAAAACGAATTTTTTATTTATAAAAAACATATCAGTATGATAGTTCAGGCATACATAATTCAAATTTAAGAGAAATTTCAGCATTGAAAAATTTTAATCATGAAAATGTTGTTAAGTAAATAAAATTTTATATATAAAAAATAAAAATAAAAATAGATTACTTGATTAATTTTTTGAAAATGGATATCTTTATATAGTATTAGAATATATAGAATCAGATTTAAGAAAGTTCATAATAGAATAAATATAAGTTAAAAAAAACTACATTTCCAATATAAAATTAAAAAGCATAATGTATTAATTAATAAAAGGAATAAATCATATACATTCGTCAGGTTTTATTCATCGTGATTTAAAACCTGCTAATATTTTAATAACATAATAAGGTTTATTTAAAAAAAAAAAAAAAAATCTTTTTTAAAAAAAGGAGAGGTAAAAATTGCTGATTTTGGTTTATCTAAAGCTATAAACATAAGATAAAATAGAATGACACCTGGATGGATAACTTTATGGTATAGACCTTTAGAAATGCTTTTAGGATAATAAGAATATAGCTAAGTAGTTGATATTTGGTCTATTGGTTGCATTTTTTCTGAACTTATAAACTTAGAACCACTTTTTGACTAAGATAAAAATTATGATATGATTGTTTCTATTATAGAGTATTATTATTTTTTTTAAAAAAGAATTTCTAATTAAGTATTTTAATATAAGTAAAAGGGGATTTCCTATTGATTGGGAAGGTATGAATAATTTTAGCAAAATAGAAAAATTTAACCAATGGAAATAAAAATAAAAATAAAGTATTAAATTGATATCAAGAAATTTATGTGATCAAGGAAACGATTTATTAGATAAAATGTTAGATACTAATCCAAATAAAAGAATAACGGCAAGATAATGCCTCTAGCATGTATTATATAAAATTATATATAAATTTATATAAAAAAAAGCCTTATTTTTATGATATAATTGATTTGACTTTAGAAGATATATAAAATAAAGATATTGAAGATACATAAGAAAATAGGAGTTTCATTGATTAAACGTGTAATCTAGAAGCAGCATAAGAAGAAGATATTTGATAATAATATAAATATATATATATATATATATATTTATATATATTTATATAAATTAAATATTAATTATATTATTATATTTTAAATTTTAAATTAATTATTTTATAAATTTTGTAAATTTTTTAATAATAAAAATTAAATTAGTATTTTTTTAATTATATAATATTTATTTTAATTTATTCTGATTTAAAAATTATTATTTATCTATATTAGACATTTATTCTAAAAATATACTTTATAGAGAATAATATATTTTTATAAGAATTTATTAATATAATTATTAGAATTAATTTTTAAATTTTTTTAAAAATAAATTCTTTATTCTTAATTATTTAATTACTAATTTTGAATTATTATTTTTTTAGTAATACTTATTTTAAAATTTTTTTTATTTAAATTTTTAATATTTTTGATTATATATTTTTAATATATTTACTATAAAATTATGTCTATTTATATATAGTATTGTGATAAAATTAAAAACGATATTTATATAAAATTTACAATTTTATAATTTCTCTTTATACTATATAATAAATGTAAAAACTATTATAAATATTTTATTTTATTTAATGTTATATTAGAAATATATAATAAGAAAAAAATAAAAAAAAGGAAAAAATAATAGTGAAAATTTCTTTTTTAATTTAATTTAATGTATATATTTTTCTTTAATATATATAAAATTAAATTTTCTAGAAATAATAGAATTTTTCTAAATTTCTTAATTTCGATAAATTTTATATTAAAACTTTTAATTTTAATTTAAAAAAAAAATATAATTAATTAATTAAAAAAAAGCAAAAAATAAATAAAAAAATTAATAAAAAATTAAAATTTATTAAAACATAATAATAAATAGAAAATAATGAACACTTTGTAAAATTAAAACTTTAATTAATAATAAAGTAACTATTCATATAAAAATTTTAATCTTTACTGTCATCGTTGCTAAAAATAATATAAAAGATTACTTCCAAATACAATAACATAAGATATTATATGCTCAGAATGCAATTTTGGTTTAGAAATAATTGAAGAAAATATATAACTAATATAATAATAACAATACTAATAATAATAATAATAATAATAATAATAATAATAATAATAATAATAATAATAATAATAATAATAATAATAATAATTTTAAAGATAATAAAATCAAATGCCTTTTTATGTTGATCATCTATTTTTTTAAGTATTTTTCTTTACTGTTCCAAATGATTAACAGAAAAACCGATAAAATCCTATTTCTTAAGAAAAATTAGACTAACTAAAAAAAATATAAATTGAAAATGATAATGATAATTAATAATGTTCTATTTGTTTTGATAATTATAAATAAGGATAAACTTAAGTTTAATTATAATGTAAGCACGATTTTCACAGTGAATGTGTTATAAGATGGCTTAAATAAAATAATTCTTGTCCTATGTGCAGATAAAAAATATGAAGAGAAATAAATTAATATATATTTATATAATTAATTAGAAAATTTGTATATATTTATATATTCTAATAATTTTTAATTTAATTTATAAAAAAAAAATATAAAAGATTTAATATTATTTTATTTTTCTTTTTTATAATTAATTTATTTTAATATTTTAATAAAATAAATAGAAATCATGTTTAATTTAAAAAAAAAAAAATTAATTTTTTATATATTATATATATTATTTTATAAATAAATATAATTTTCTAAAAATTTAAAAATTAAAATTAATTTTTTATAAATTATTTATTATATATTGTAATATATATATATCATGGAAATTTAAACTTTTTATTTCGTATTATTATTAAAAGAAAATATAATAGATATTATATATTATAAATTTAATATATAATTAAGTTAAATATATATATATATATATATTATATATATATTATAATAATAATAAAATAATATAATTATAATTAATGCAATTTATTTTTAAATTATTATTTTTCACTATTTTTTTAATTTTTTTATTAAAAATAATATATTATTAGGTTGAGTTAAAAATATAAATAATCACTAATATTTTATTTAATTCAAATTTATATTTATAAATTGATTATAACTTTTATAAAGTATTTATATATAATAATATTTTTTAGTTTAATTTTTAATATTCTTTACATTTTTCTTTTTTTAATATAAAGCTAAAAATTATATTTATATATATTATATTTTTTATTTAATTTTACAAATATTTTTAAAGTTTACCTGTTTATATTTAATAATAATAAACAAATATATTTAAGAAGACATTAAAAAAATACTCAATAAAATAAAAATACATAAAAACATATAAAGAAAAATGATTCATTTAAAAACTTGAGTATTTAATATTCTATTAGTAATTTATCCATTTTACAAATTAACATTATTTACTTTACTTTTAAAAATTTTTGACTTCATAAAATTTTTAAAAAGGCTAATTTTAACAAAGGCTTCATCCATAACAGTATAATTAATTTTACTTTAATTCAAAACTGTATTTGAAGTCATCATTTCTCTATTTTACATAGAATATCCTTTTCTACTTAATTAATTAATTTATTCCATTAAATATTATTACTATATTGTTTTGTTTTAAAGTATGTCTTATAATTATTTTTATATATCTTATGAACTTATTACATTTTCTTATAAATCTTCTAGTTTTTCTGCTATTTTATTTCTTTTATTTTTAAATTCTACTAATTACTATTCTAATATCATTAATTATTCTCTTATTACTATTAGATCAAATGGTATTTATATTTTGCTGTCTTTCTAATAATAATTAATATATTCTACATGTAATATATTATTTTATGTAATAGTACTAATCATAGAACCTTATCCACTTAATTATTCATTTTAAATATTATTATTATTATTATTATTATTTAAAACAGAACTTGTAGTACTTTAACATGTTGTTTTAGTTAAAGCACTTGATAATTTTTTTAATTTTTTTATTATTTTCTAATTAAATATCTGTATGAAACTTAATTATTAACTGCTTCTTATAATTCTTATTTAAATCCTTTTAATATTATTATTTTCATTTACTTAGTCATTTTTTAGTTATCAGTTATATTAGTAAGGCCTATTTTATCATAACTTTTCATATTTGTGAGTTTAATTTTTAGAACATATAATTAAAATTAATGTTGTATATCTTATTACGCTTATTCTAAAGTTTAGTTATATTTTACTTTTTCAAATTAATTCTTGGCTTCATTTTAAGTATATTCTGACATATTTATTAATTTATACTTTTATATATATATATATTTTTTTTTATAATAATTTCTTTTCTTTTAATTTTTTTTGTTTTTTAACTTTTTTTGATTTTATTAAATAATATATTAAATGATGTTTAATTTTATTATTATTATTATATTATATATATATATATATATTTAATATTTTTAACTTTAAAATGAAAATAAAATAAAATAGATTAAAATAATATTAATAATAATACACTTTAATATTAAAAAAATAAACATTTCTTCATTTAATAAAAAAAATAAAATTAATGATAACTTCTTATTTTAAATATAATTTACTTCTTTTATTAAAAAACGAAAGAAATAAATATAAATTAATATTATTATAAATAATTTTAATCTCAAATATATATAAAAAATATTAACAATTTTAAAATTTCTATTAATTTTTTTTTTTCATATAATTTTATGATAAATTAATAAAGTATATATTTAAAAAATATATAATTAAAAAAATTAAATCGTTAATTTATTAAATTTTATTCTTATGATTTATATATTATTAATAAAATTTTAATATATTTTGTTGAATATTGTTGAACTACTTAATTAACATTATTATTTATATTTAATAATTTTTATTTAAATATAAAAATCATAAATCAAACATAATATTTATTAAATATTTTTTAAACTTTATATACCTAAATTATAAATTAATATTCTTAAAATTATATAATAAAAATTAGTATATAAACAAAATAAAATTATTCATAAACAATAAATCTTATTTATTTATTTTTGAAAATAATAAATTTTAAATAAATAATATTTAGATATTTCTTATATTTATCCTTAAAAACAAAATAAAAAATATTAACATAAAATAATTCACAATATTAAATGATAATATTTATTCATTAATAAAATTAAAATATATATATAAGTCTATACTCGAATTTATTTTTTATATTAATTTTTTTAATAATGAAATAAATAAAATGTACATAAGACATTTTCTTTAATTAAATATTTTATTTTTATTTTTTATTTAAAAAAACAAAAATAAAAAGTGATTAAATAAATCAATTAATCTAATTTTATCTAATAATAAATCTAAATTAAAAAAAACAAAAAATGTCAAAAATACACAAATTAAAGAAAAATATTATTTTTACCAATGATGGAGTATAAAATGTAAATTTAAAATAAAAAAACTAAAATATGAAAAATAATAACAATAAAAAAAAAAAAAAGAATTAAGAAATAAATTATAGTGCAGCATTTATAAGTTAGGATTAATTTAATACATTTGTAGATAATATAAAAATTGAAATATTAAATTCAAAGCCGGAATAAATAGAATTTTAACTCTAAGGAGTTGATGCTCCAATAGCAAATGCTTTAAGAAGAATTATGATAGCAGAAGTAAAAATAAATTATAGAATATAACTAAAAAAAAAAAAAGGTTCCAACTATGGCTATTCATAAAGTATATATATACCAAAATACTTCAATTATTCCAGATGAAGTATTAGCTCATAGACTTGGTTTACTTCCAATATAAGCAGATCCGCGTTTATTTGAAGAAAAAGAAGGTAATATATTTATTTAAAAATATATAAATAATGTATATTATAATAAAATAAATAAAGATGATGCGGAATATAATGAGAATAATTCAATAAAATTTTCAATTAAAGTAAAATGTTAGAAAAAATAAACATATAATAATCATTCTTAAAAAGATTTGGAAAATTTAGATCCGGAAAAATACTTGGAAAATGCAATTGTAATATAAAAATAAATATTCTTTATACTTATATATTTATATTTTTTTTTTAAAAAAAATAGGTATATAGTGGCTAATTTAAGTGGGAACCTATAGGTAATTAAAAAGAAAGATTCAAAGAAAATATAATAAAAATAGTGCATGATAATATTATTGTAGCAAAACTAAGAGAAAATCAAGAAATTATAGCAGAAGTAATTTGTTAAAAAGGAATGGGAAAAAATCATGCTAAATGGTCTCCTGTATGTACTGCTTATTATAGATTAATGCCTTCTATAAAAATATTAGAACCTATATAGGGTAAAAAAGCTCAATAATTAAAAGAAAAATGTCCAGCTAAAGTATATGATGTTATAAGTATATTTTTTTATAATAATATATATTATTAATGTAAGTTTAATAATATTTAAATAAAAATATTAGATAATCAAGCAAAAGTTGTAAATGAAATAGAATGTACAATGTGTAGAGAATGTATAAGAGAAGATGAAGAATTAAACTAAAAACTTTAATTGGGGAAAGAATAAGATAATTTTTATGTAATAAAAAAAATAATATATATATATATATAAATAAATAAATATATATATATAAATATATATATATATATATATTTATTTTTATATTTATATTTTTTTAGTTACTGTTGAAAGTGTAGGAATATATGATGCTTCAGATATAGTTATTGAAGCTATAAAAATTTTAAAAAATAAAGCTTCTTCTTTCAAAATTAATATATGATTTTATAATTTTATTTTGTTTTTTATATTTATATTTAATTATAATCATTTGTTTATTTTTTTAAAATAATTTATTTATTTTTTAAACTATTATTTAATTAGTTATTATATTCTTAAATATATTTTTTAATATTTTTTTTTAATAAAATTATTAATATTTAATTTTCTTATTTATATTTAGTCTAAATCATTATAAACAAAAAAATTATCTTAATTTTATAATATAAACTTTTTTTTTTTATTAATAAAATATTTTAACGAAAATATTTTTTTTTTTGAATAATTTTTAATATTAATTATTTTTCAAATAATTAATTTTTTTTAAATAATAAATTTTAAAATTAAAAAAAATGTAAAAATAGTTAAAAGAATCCGATTTTAATATTAATAATAGTAAAATACATGAAAAATAAAATAATTCATTTTAAAATGATTAATTTTATGAACAAAAATAAGATTTTTAAAATATCTAATTATCAAATTCATATTATTAAGATTCAGGTATTATTTTTTTATTAAAAAAAGATTAAAAAATATTAAATATAAATAAATAAAGATAATAAATATAACTATTTGCAAAAGTAAAAATTAGTTATTAGTACAAATAGACATTATTCTTAGGATAATAAATAATCATATATATAATAATAATAGTATTCTAAAGAAAAAAACGATAAATTATATTTATAATAATATTGCTCAAGACCAGTTATTGAATCAAATAATTCTAATAGAATTAAAAAAATCACTGATTTATAAAATTCTTTAATTAAAGAAAGACAGGTAATTGGAACTTTAAATATTGAAAAAAGTTCTATGTAAAATACACTTAAAGATTAAGAAAAATAAGTATATTAATTATAAAAGTATTTTTTTATTTTTTTTTTTAAAAAAAATTAGTTTTCACCTTTAAGGTCTTAAATATAATAGCATCCGGTTTCTTAAAATCATAGTTTTTTATTAAATAAAGTAATATAATTTTAAAAAATATTAATTAAAGTTTTTTGTTTCTTATAAATATAAAATTTAGGAAGAAGTAAATAGATTATATACTTTATGTAAAGAAAAAGATTAAATAATAGCAAATCTTATGGATGAATTAGCAAAAAATCCTTCAAGATAAAGTATAGAAGCTGATAAAACATGCTATCTAACATAAGTAAGTAATTTTAAAAATACAATATCAGAATTGGAAAATAAAGTTGCTTTATATACTACAGAAAATGAAAGATTAAATAAAAAATTATAAAATAAAGAAAATTAATTGTAAAAAAAAACAGTGACAGTATATATATAGAAGAAAAAATGAAATTAGAAACAGAAGAAATAATAAAAAATTATGAAGATTAAATAAGAAAAGTCTAATTATTTTTTTATTTTATTTTATTTATTTTACAAATAAAGTTTTTAATAGAAAATCAAAAAATGTAAACTATAAATGAAAACTAAAAATAAAGAATTGATAATTTAAAAAAAATAAATGAATAAAAAGAAAAAAAATAGATGAAAAGTTAGAATAAACAAGAAATTATTGGAAAGAATTTTATTCAAAAGAATTCCTTGAATAAAAAAATAATCTAGAAATAGAAAAAAATATAATAGAAAATCAACTTAAATAAACCAAAAATATTAATATTGAACTTTAAGAATAGATATAAGTTTAATAAAAAGAAATTTCTTAATAAAAATAACTTATTATTGAAAAAGATATTATTTTATAAGATTTTTAATCTACTCTATAATTATTTCATAGAGTAGAATAAGATCTATAATAATAAAATATTGTTAATTCTGAATCAAATAAAAAAATTAAAGAATTGGAAAGTAAAGTTCTTTAACTTATATCCGATAATAGATAACTAAATAATGTTTTTGTTTTATTAAATATATATATAAATATATATATATATATATATATATATATATATATATATATATATATATATACATATATATTTATCTATTTATCTATTTATTAGTCTATAAATACTGATTTATAAATATGGAAATCCAAATATGAAGAATCTGAAAAAAATATCTATTAAATGTAATAAACCTAATTTAAATAAATTGATGATTTAAAGATATAATATGAATAATAAATTTAAAGTTTAGTTAAAAAAAAAGAAAAATAATTTAACGAAAATAATTATTAAGTAAAATTAATATTTAAAAAATATTTTATTTTTTTTTTAAATAAAAATAGGAAAAGTTAACTTTATTAGGTTAAATAGTAATAATTTCCGCTGATAATGAAAAATCGCATTTACAAATATTTTAATTAGAAAGAGAAATTGACGAATATAATTTTTTAATTAAGCAAGTATAAATTTAATATAATAATTTTTTTTTATTTATAAAATTAAAAATATAGTTAAATTAAAAAATCGAATTATTAAAATAAGATTAATAATCAATATTAGATAGAAATGATGATTTATAAAAAAAAATAGAATAATTAATTATTAATAACGAATAATTAAATTAAGGTTTGAAATAAAGAATTGAAGAAGTAGAATTATGGAGAATTAAAGTTTTTTTTTATTATTCCAAAAATAAATAAAAACATATATATAAATATAGTATAATGAATTATAATAATAAAGCGAATAGAATGCTTATTATATATAAAATCATCATTAAGAAGAAATTAAAATTTAAATATAAAATCTTAAAGAATAAATGGATTACTAAGCAAAAGAATATGAAGAAAACATAAAAAAAATAAAACAAAAAAGCTAACAAATATAAGAAGTAAAAAAAAATAATTTAAATATTTTAGAGAAAGACTTAGAAAATTTAAAAATAGATATTTATTAATATTAATAAGTAAACAAAATATATATATATATATATATATATATATATCTATATATTTAATAAATAATAAAGTAAATTTAAGAACTGTAATTTTAAATATGTTAAAATAAATAAGATAAAGAAAATTTATTTTAACTTTAAATAGAAAAAGATACTTAATTTGAAAATTTAATGTAAAAATATGAAAAACAAGAAAACCAATACCAATAATAATTAGAGGAACTAATAAAATAAATGAAAAATAAAGACGAAGAAATCGAAGATATAAAGAGAGAAAAAAATAACAAAAGTACAGAAATAGAATAATTAAAAAGCAAAATTTTAATAATTGATGAATAAGTATAAAGTAGAAAATTAATATATAATGAACTTTAATAAAAATTTAATTAAATATTAGATGAAAATTAATAAAAATAAAATACAAGTATTTATTTATTTTTAAACATTAATAAAATAACCAAAAAAATAAATAAATAGTTGATTAATTAAATTAATAAATATATAATTTAAAATATAACATTGAAATATTAGATAGATAAAACACAAAAAATAATGAAGAATTCGAAAAATAAAAACGAGAATTTTAATAATCTAAAGAAAAATAAATAATAGATCAAAAAAACACTACGAATCGTTACTTTAAAAACAAGAAAAAACATTCATTTATTAGAAAGTAAAATTAAAAATTTATCTTAAGAATAAGAAAAATCAGAATAATAACGAATTATTTAAAATGATGAATATAATTAAAGAGTTAAAAAATTAGAAGATGATTATAATGTAAAATATATATAATATTTAATTGTAAAAATAAAAAAAAGTAAAAATTAATAAACTAATAATATATGATTGAATAAGAATCTATTATGCAGTTTAATACTACTTAAACATAATTAAAACTTTTATTATCTGAAGTAAATATATATAAATATATATATAATATTAGAAAAATAAAGAATGAAAAATAAATTGCTAATAATAAATTATATATAGATAATCTCATATTAGAATTAAATAATGAAAAGTAAAAATATATATATTTATTATTTTAAAAAATATATTTAACAAACAAAATAAATAATATATATGTATATATGTATAAATATATATATATATATATATATATATAGAGAAAAAAAGAATAACTTTAAATAATAAAAAAATAAAAGACAAAAATACCAAAGATGTTAAATTGAGCTATAAAAAGCATGTTAAGATCTTGATTTTTGGAGAAGTAAAGCAGCATAAATAGACCCAAATCATCCATATATATAATAAATATTAAGTTAATTGGACCAAAAAAGAAAAGAGAATTTAGAATTAGAATGCAAAATGCATGAAATAAGTAGAACTTCAAATGAATTAAAAAGATAAATGAATAGAACTTAATTCAATAATAGATTTCCTTCTTCTGATACTTTTTAAAAAAAGTAATTAATATCTATAAATCTCCACTTAATTTATCTTTACTAGATGAAAATGATTATCTTAATAGAAGAGTATTAAATAGATGTCGATAAATAGTTAATAATAGCTAATATTGAAAAAAAAAATATATATATATATATTAAAATATATATATATATAAAAAACTAAATTTAATTAAAATATAAAAATAAAAAAAAATGCCATAAAAAGTAATAAATATTAAAAGAGTAAAAAATATTATAAATAAAATCGAAGAACAGCCAAGTTAAAAAAGTATTATTGCATTTATAAAAATCTTTAGAATTTGCGTGACTTAAAATGAAGATGAAAATTAAGATGATTTTAATTAAAATACTAATTAAATGGATTTTATTATTGAAGATGCAAATATTTATGATATTGTAGTTAATTACGCTATATAAAAATTTCCGTATAAACTTAAATAAATACTTAAATTAGATGATGATTAAATACTTAAAAAAGTTAATTCAAGAAAACTTGAAATCGTACTTAAAGTTTACCTTCTTAATTTAGTTAAAATGCTCGAAAGTGTACAAGAAGAAGAAATGTTAGCTTATTTATTAAGATTTTATCCTTATATAAGTGATTTCTTGTTTCCTTTATAAGTAAAATAAAAAAACATATAAATAAATAAATTATAT